AACTCTGGTGCTTATCTCCTACAAACCCTTTTGAGTTTACTCATCCCAGTTAAGTCACAAAACAAGTTAGTCCCATGAAAAACTGCAGAAAGTGATCAACAGAACCCCCAATGTAATTTACGTGGAGCAGGAAGTTAGAGTAACATTTTATCGAGAAAGTAGTGAAAAAAGTTCTGATGGGGATTCACATAACCGTTGGGTAGGGTTAACAATAACAATAGTATCCAAATTCGTATAGCCAAGCCCTAAAAAGTGTGTTATATCACGACGTCTGGAATTGTAGGTTAAGTAACACTTCTAATATCTCTAAGCACGTGTTAAAAGGGCATAAGCATACGCTTAACTTGCAAAATAATGTCAAATAGTTTTAAGCACAATAATATAAAATATTTCTACTTAGAATTGGAGATTCTGCACGTCTAGCCACATAGTAGGAGGAGTACCCAGAGGAGCTAAATTCCTGACAATGTAATAACAAACGTAGTATCTCGTAAATCTCGTCGTGAATTCTACAACTGCTAAAGAGGCAAGAGCCCCCGAAGAACATTAAAATCCAGTTTTTAAGAGCTTATTTACGAGTTATGCAAGATTATTTATTTACGTAAAAAACAGTTAAAAACTTACGTGTTATGGGGAAAGTTAATTTGAAATTACATTTATATCCAGAAGCAAAACAAGGGGCCATTTCAGCATTTGCTCGAGGATCAGGGAAACTGGACGAAAACCGGATCGAGATGGGGGGTCATTGACCCAGATGCTGAAGTACAATACTTGTTACAGGTTCTTTACAATTATAAATACAAATGATATATAATACATTAAATGTCCTTGTTAAAAATAATATTACTTTCCTTTTGGATGATCAGTGCAGCAGAAAATATTTTACTTCGGACTTAAACTTTTGTATTGAATTTAATCGCTTATCATCTGGCAAGGTGTTGTAAAATAATGTACATGTATTATATGTGGCTTTTTTGTAGTGAGCTGTTAATACTGTTGCCTGATGAATATGATTACTACGTCGAGTATTGTAGTTATAGACAACGACGTTTGTTGAAAATCTATTCCCGCCCTTAAGTCATTTTTGACAAAAAACACTGATTCATAAATTAAGAGACAAGGTAATGGAAAAAACCTAGATGAATAAAGAGAGGCTTACAAGAATCACGAGGGTGGGATTTGCTTATTATTCATACAATTATTTTTGGTAAACAAAGTCTGGGAACTGTAGGATGTACTTCCCCAGAATATTATGCCATATCTCAGGCGGTAATGAACATTCGCGAAATACGAGCAGTGTGGAGGCTGACTGAATTTGAAATAATTCTGAAAGCGTAGCATAAATAACTTAATTTTGTGTTCAATTCATTTAAATTGACGTTTCATTTAAAGTTTGACTGAATTGAAAGACCTAAAAATTGTGTTATCTTAACAACAGTCAATGGCATTTTCAGTGAAGTGCCGAGCTGTTTATTTGAAATGGAAAACTGCATTGAAACCGTTTTCTTTTCATTTACTATTATTTTGTTATTACGGAACCAATTTGAAATATCTGATATTGTACTATTTACGGTTTCTTTATTGCAGAGAATATTCGTATCATCCCCAAAGAGAACTGTTCTTCCGTTTCTAATCATTGAGGGCATATCGTTTACGTATAGTAGAAAGAGAATAGGGCCTAAAATCGATTCCTGCGGGACTCTACAGGCAATTGGCAAAGAATCAGATGTGTACATAATGTTCCATCATTCCATTCTATTATTTATACTCTCTGAGATCGTTGTTTAAGGTACAAACAAAACCGATCTAGAGCAACACCACGTTTTCCATACGAAGGTAATTTTGACAGTAGAATGTTATGATCAATGACGTCAAAAGCTTTTGAAAAATCTAAAATATTACAATATGTGCTTCGTTTTGATCTGTGGATGGGGCGACATCTTTAAGAAAAGAAAAAATGGCTGTTTCCGTAGATTATGATTTTCGAAACCCATGTTGGTAATCTGAAAACGCAGAGTGTTTTCAAAAAAATGTTTCAATTCGTACGTAAAAGAGTCTGATGTTTTTGAAAAACCGACAAAAGAGAAATTGGCCGATAATTTTGTATTTCATTTTTGTTTCCTTTTTGAAAAGCGGCTTAATCTTAGCTGTTTTAAAAATATCTGGAAAAATTCATAAGTGCATAAGGAGCCATTAAATATACGAGTTGTATAATGGCGGGCGCACAAACCTTTGACAAACAATCCGGTCGAAAATCATCTAAACCGGTCGAATATTTATTTATCGATTTATCTATATTTATAGATCGAACGCGATGGAAACTCTCTCTTTATAAATTTGTATGCAACAGATAATCCCCAAAACAATTACAAATAACATTTAAGGGGACTGGCAAATTTAGTTTCGTTTCCAATTTCTCGTGCAATAAGCCTACTAACTTTTTGTATTATTTCAGTTCAATATGATTCACTCCAAAAAAACAACAACAAACTATCCATTAAACAACTTTCTGAATGACAACCAAGTACATTTGAAAGAAATAAAATAGAAAGAGAAGATCTACTGCAAACGTAACGTACGTTTACTATATTTGATTAAATGTAATCGACAGTTTCCAACAACCACTATTACCATTATTGAGTATAAATCGGGTCTCTCTTTTTCCCAAAGATTATACGTAAATTTATGAGTATTTTAAGGCAAACTTTGTGTCTCAAAATAACGTAATGTTATTTAGACTATCCTTTAAGTCCAAGCCTCAACAGTCTCGATGGTTAACGCTTAACGAAACGCTAGAAAATACAAAACGCTGAAATCGAACACAAACTTCACAATACCTGCAACTCCCGACACCTAGCAGAGACTTGACAAACTAATTCGTCGTATCCATAACAAAAGAAAAACTATTCTTTGGGGTCAATGAACATCACTTTACGTCTTTGATTTGATTGGTACATATCTAAATAATAAATTTATTTTACGTCAGAAAAGAAAATGGATGTAACGCATAGGAGGAATTTACAATCTCTAAGATCCTTATCACAACTCAAGTTGAATCCCAAGTTGAATTATCAATAGAGGTGGCAGTTCGAATTTTTTACAAAATTTGATATTAGATAATATTCGCTCTCGTGTAACGAAACTATTAGCAAATACAGAACAGACTGGGGCTCTTATCTCTTATCACGCCCCATACTTGATCCTGGTGGACAAGATTCAAATGTTTTTTAGTACATGTACATGTACATATAATACCTATTACCTTCTCTTTCTGGAGAAAAAATTATTAAAAAGCATTGATGCATTTAATGCCCAATCCCACATATTTACCTTCCTTGTGTGTTTAATGGGGGGGGGGGGGATGTAAGAAATATTACAAAATCTGAAATTTGTTTTATTCTTCCCAAGTCATTTCATTAATTACTTAATATTATTATTTATGAGCTCCTTTATAGGAGGAATTAATTTCAACACAATTTCTCTATGAATTTCTTAGAAAATGTGTGTTAGTCACAGAAGATTAGTTGGTTTTGTTGTATCAATTTATATCTTATTCCCTTCCAGAAATTATAGGCACATATTAGCAGTAATTGTCAAAAACTCTAACTTCAATAAAATTTTGAATATATTCTTGAATAAGAAAGAATGTAAGAGAGAAGATAAGAAAATAAAGTTGAAGATTCTATTAACTGATTCTATGACATTAGATGTTCCAAAATATGATTTGAGATCGCATGTCTTTGTGTTAAGCAATACTGGTACCTATGCACAACAGTGATTTAAGACTTCCTTAAGGTTGTGTTCGTGATTAGGATTGTGAAAGTCTTCATTTCTACTTTCTCACAGTGGACAGACTCAAATAATGGATAGCACTCAATAATGAAGATATGTTATACATTTTTTTAAATAGCTCCCTTGGGTTCTAATTATTTAACATAACTTTTTCAATCTTGTTACAGTCTGAGTACTTTTACTACTTTACTGTGTATTTACTAATTATTTTTCCGTCACATTTTTTTCCAGTTTTTTTTAAAATTATTTATTAACAAATATACCTAAAACTGACATCTGAAAGGGGGAAGCTGCATGTAGGATTTAGAAGCAAAGAAGAATAACAATCTCAGCATTTGCTCAATGGACAAGAGAAATAAGAGAAACCCAATGAACAATGGGCGGGTCCATGGATTCAGAGGTTGATTATAACTCTGGGTCGGATTTTGATGACCTAAAACAATGCCAAATATGATCAATAAAATGCTTTAAAAATGCCCTAAAAACAGAGAAAGTGATATTAAAAAATTTGATCGAAACCTCTCAGATTAACAACTCAAGCTGTTGGATATGTTACTGATGTTATCAAGGCTTCTTCCTTTTGTTCAAGTGAACTCAGACTTGCAAACTTTTGATTTGGACTGTTTTTTATCGTGAAATCAACCGAACTGATAATCGCACCGATAGGCGTTACAGGAACCTTACATTACATAATACTTACAACAGCTGACATTACATTATATGATCGAAGAAATCAAATAGGCTACTCAGGAATTCTGTGTGAACATGTGTTGTACTTTGTAAATATTATTAGAAGCAAGTACCAATGAAATTATATTAAAATTGATGAAATCGGCGAGAAATGCATTAATAATGATGTAAAAACTGGGAAAAATTACTGACTTGTTGAAATCAACGAAAAATGCAAAAAAATGACATAAAACAGGTCATTGTTTTGTCATAACATAAAATGAGTTTCTAAACTAAATGACACTTGTCCCAAAGTGAAAAGCAAACACGACATTTCATTAAAATCCATGCCCTAGTTATGGTCATTATCAAATAAATAGGGACCATTTCTATTTTTGATACTCAACACAGTCAAAGAGTTTGAAAAATGAGGGAGTTAGTTGTTTGGATAAGATTTTACCAGGCATTTGAATTTTTGTTCAGATTTTGACTGTTTAAGGTCATCTGTTATTGTATCATAAAATAATGAAATATTATTTGTGATTTTTTGTTATATTATTCCTTGCTAATTTCATACCATAGTGTATTTTTCTGATCCAATTCTTACTTACATCTTGAACGAATGGAAACCCCTCCTCCTCAAAACAATTTTTTTATTATTTCCATAATTCGTAAGTGCAACAGAACTTTTTATACAAAAATTATTTTAACCAACAAATTTGAATAAGTTGAATGAAAAATACCTTTACAGAAGTCAAACAAATTAATTTTCGTAGTATCAGTTAATTACTGTTATGGAAATTAATAGTTAAATAAATAATTTCCAGTAATTAGGGCTGAATACATGAAAATACAAATGTAATAATTACATTTGTATTTGGTGAATCTTATCTGTACAATAAAATCAGATTCTGAAGGTGTATTATCTGACATCTGTCTTAACCATATTACCTGAAAATTAGTTTTTTCTTGAAATAAGATCTCAATTACACAAACTGGTAGTTGCCAAGATAAGTGAGATTGCTAATTAGCATCGTAAGGCAAATTTTGAAGAAAAGGAAATGTTTTAACTATAAGTAATTGCACAAATGAGCTAAATGTCACTCCACTTCATGCATTACTAGCTACATAGAACCCATCATTCAATGCTATGAAGTAGAACTGTATCATGTTTTTAAGATTGTACAGAAGATCAAAAACTACATTTTCGTATACATATGTCATTTTAAAATAGGTTTGAGGAAAGTTTATCATAATAAAAAATTGAGTTTTGGAGGGGAGGGGAGATACGTTGTGTATTTTATAATTATAATGGTACATATTCACAACTGAAGCTTTGTAGACTGAAAGGTTTAGGTTCGAGTTCCAAGTGGCAATTTTTTTTTACACAAACTAAATCTCAAAACTTACATCTCTTAAAGCTGACCACTGATCAAGAAGTTTAGAGATCAGTCTTTCTGTGGCACACTCTCATCAATTTGTGGAAGACTGGAGCAATACCCTAAACAACACTACAGTCATAATCAATCCTTACCTATCAGTCTTATTCCCATCTTTGAGCCAGCTAAGAGCTTATCTCTCCGATTCTCAAATGAATCGCTGAGAAAATTCATGAAAAGCTTTCCAAATAAAATGGTTTTGAACTAATAAAATCAGTATTTACGAAGGAAACATTTCCCAAACTAATAACCATGAATTACAGAAGTCACCTATAGTTTTTCTTAATGCTCAACATCAACCACATCTGGACCTTTGATTTTTGCGTAACGATATTTTTTGTTGACAGTGTTCAAAAATGCGTTACCTGGAGAAACTTAAAATATTTTTAACAATCATCTATTTTAAAACATGACTAGCACTGAAGGGCACACAATGAATCATACGTTCCTTTAAGACAGAATCGTCTAATACCTTAGTATTATGTACGAAAATTTACATCAAAAGCAAAAATAATCACTATTACACTTAAGATTTGTAAGATGTAATTATCAGCCATTTTACAAGTTCTCAACAACAAAAATAGGTATTTCCCCAAATATTACATATCTGATCATCAGTAATCTTGGTAAAGATAATGTGACACTGAGGTAAATGAACAAGTTGTTCTGAAGACTTAAACAATATGTCTTTTAGTATAACCTTTAATTACCAAGTTCTCATCAAATTCAAAGAGAAGGGAGCAATGGGAAAGGAAATAAATAATTATAACTTATATACACACTAATTTATGTATTCAACTTCAACAATTCAGACATTATCTACAGGAATATGATAAGTACACCAGTAACTACAAACCATCCACCAGGGCTCAAAATACTGAATGCAAGTTAACATTTCTATCAATTTAATTCACTGCAGAAACTCCATTACCAACATCGCACAACTTCAAATACAGCCCAAGTTAATGATTTGTTGAACTATATATTAGACAGTAACATCTACACATCTGTACACCAAAGACAAGAAATAAATCTCTGTACGAATAACAGCGGAATGTCTCATAAGTAAAATGAAACCTGGCAACAACGTTATGTAGTTCAATGAAATTTACAACATAATGGAATATTTCAATGGACAGAGGTGAACTCCACAATTATTCACATCATATATTACACAACTGTACATACACAAAATAACAATTTTTCTTTACAAAATAGTCTTATCAGTTTCTGACTACTGCACCAATTACACATGAAATGCCTCATCCACAAAACCAAACTACAAAGTATGTACTGACATCTAGAAGACAACTGTAATGATGAGTTACAATATCCAAGAAATGATATTGCAACAGTTTTTCTCAAAGAAATGTCATTAAAAATTTACATAATGAGAACTGCTACCAATGTAGCTATTATTGAGAAAACCCTCCATTGTCACATCTAAATTGAACACTTTTACAAGGAACAAAATGTGACCAACTGTGAAGGGCTTCAATGTAGTATATTGTCAGCACTCAATAAAATAGGTAAGTAGAAGAACACAGAGTAATGTGTACATCGATGAAGAGTATGTACAATGATCTGAGAAAAACTGTGGCAATCTTGGTGTAAAACCCACCAAGTAAGCCAACCAAATACCAAATACAGATGGTTAAAGGCAGCTAATTTACTTGGATTGCGTGTGACGGGAATCTCTTGGGTAGAACTCTGCCAAAGTTGAAGCAGGAATACGTTTCAGCATCTCTTTTGGGAAGATACGCAGCAACTGCCATCCAATGTCCAACGATTCAAAAACTGTACGATTCTCGTAATTACCTGGAATTCAGAAGCAAATTTTCCTTAAAATTTAGATTATTGTAATTCGTCAAAGGAACATGTCCTTAGTGCGCTCTTTATAAGCACCAGGGTTGTTTCTTACTAATTGTGCAAATCCGTTTTGTACAAGACTGCTCTCAACTTCATTTTCAAGAACTTAAAAGTTACACTTAAAGAACAATATAAAATAAACTATTTAAATGTTCACAGTCCATTATAACTTCAAACAGAAACACAATCCCTTTTTTGTACTTAATTAGGCTCTCAATAGCATTGATCCACAAGTTGAGAAATTCATTTTCTTTGAATTTCAAGAAAGTAAAATTGTGATAACACTCCAAGAATTAAACTTTTGAATACATAAATGAACTTAATACATTTAAAGAATTAGATAGAACAAAAAATTACCTTGAGAAATGAAGTTCTTCTCAAATTTAGTGAGGAACTCCAAGTAGAGCAAATCATCAGGGGTCAAGGCTTCTTCACCCACCACAGCTTTCATGGCTTGCACATCCTTGCCAATAGCATAACATGCATACTGCAAAATAACATTTCAATGATAATTTTCCACTTCAAACAAATCAAGTCCGTATCGATTCTACTTCCACAAAAGAGAATATTACATGAATGACAAACAAAAGGACTGCAGGATATTAGGTTTATCCTGTTCTCATTGTACAGTAGACCTGGAAGTTTGTACATCTTATTTATTACAATAATTTTAAAAAGTGTATATTAATTGTAAAGAGAAAAAGCTACGAGCATTAAGAAATTCATTGCAGATCAATGCAACACAAATTCAAAATTTCACTCGGTAAAAATGGAACAATGCCACTGGCTTATGTCCAGAAATAATTGACAGACTCATTAGAATTTATAAGACAATTCAAATTAACAAGCGTTCTTCAGGAGATATGTTTATACAGTAGAGAGGAAGATGAAAGAGGAGGAAAATTAGAGCGAACAAATGTTCTGAACATTTGGTTTCGAACTATGATACATTAATCTATTTACCATCCAAGGGTTTTACGAAATGAGATTTTTCAAATTTGAAGTATTATTGCAATAAAGGTGTTTGTAATTATAATTGCTTAGACTCAAGGATGTTTTACATTAATTGCAAGGGCCAAAGGCTTGAGCCATATCCTCATGTACGACACTAGTGGAGCGTCAAAGTAATATTACTTAAAAATGCAACTGAAATTACATGTATGAAGCAAGTGAAATACAATGTTTTGTAAATCCTCTTGTGCAGCATGGAACCACAAGCTACTTTTATTGAGGAGTCACAAAGAAGTGCAATGAAATGAATAGAACTTGCCCATTATCCTCCAGAAAATTGAGTTTTAAATTCCTGTCACTGTATAGAAAGATCAACCTTTCAGCTGTGCACAACCCAATATTTTTGGAAATGCATGGATGAATATGATACATCAACTTGATTAAGTTGTTACTCTAATGACACAAATCCACGAAGCAAAAATTGATCCTTTCTGTGGTACCGTTGAATGACATTCATGCACTACATATGAAGGTTGCCTTTTGTGTCTCCGGATTTGGCAAACTTGATGTTGCAATCTGGCAACTGACAGCTCTATCGTAAAGTTGGATGTTTTGAGGTTAATACGTACTCAGAACGTTTTGACATACAAGCGCTATTTGTGTTTTTTACAGTAAATTAAAAGATTCATCTAGGAATCAAAAAAGGAATTAAATCGTTAACATTTTCGTGCAAGTTATTTTTACAACTTTCAACGTCGATTAACTTAGCAACTGTGCATGGATGAACTTAATTCAATTTTTGGCGATGAAGCTCCATCAAGGACCAGTGTTTATCGATGGTATGGTGAATTCAAATGTGGTCGTAGTTCACTCCAAGACGAATTACGTGAAGGTCGTCCAAAATCTGTTGTTGTTCCGAAAACCATTGCTGTCCGTGAACTGATATTGCAAGATTGTCATGTGATCTATCATGAAATTGAGACAACCTTAGGCATCAGTGAGACCAGCATACATTCAATATTGCATGAACATTTGACTGTCAAAAAAATTTGTTAATCGCTCAAAAAATGAATCGCTTAAAAAAAAAGGCTTGTGTCAACTGATCGAAAGAAATGCTCAAAAAATACGATCGCGGTGATTCGAAAGACGTGACAGGTGATGAATCCTGGATTTACGCGTACAAGCCCGAAAGTAAACAGCAGTCGACTGTATGGTGTTTCAAGATGAGCAAAATCCAACAAAAGTTGTTTGCGCACGTAGCACTTCCAAACAGATGGTCGCCTGTTTTTTAGGAAAAACTGGACATGTTGCAACCATACCACTAGAACAACGCAGAACAGTCAATTCTGAGTGGTACACAATGATTGGTTTGCCAGCTGTCTTCCAAGAAATCAGGAAAATCAACCACCGAAGACGGATCACTTTTCACCACGACAATGTGAGCCCTCACACATCGGCTCAAGCAACTGCATTTTTGAGCACCCAAAACAGATTTGATGAGTCATCCTCCGTATAGTCCTGACTTGGCACAGAATGACTTCTTTTTATTCCCATATGTAAAAAACAGAGAGGTCAATGTTTTTCGATACCTGAAGAAGCGGTTGCTGCAATCAGAATGCAGGTTTTGGAGATACCTCAATCAGAGTGGCAAAAGTGCTTCGACAATTGGTTCAAACACATGCAAAAGTGTATAGATCTTCATGGGGAATATTTTGAAAAATAAAGTGATTTTTAATGATTAATATTTGTTTTTGTTCTCTAATCCTGAAATATAAAAGGCAACCCTCCTACAGTGTAATTTTTTGTAAATTCTATTATGAAAACACTAATAAAATTTGCATAATCTACCCTTGGGTCTTTGAGTCATTTTCAATAAAGTAGCTTGAGGCTTCACAAGGCACAAGAAAAATACCTATAAAATGTAGTATATTTCTCAATACATACATGCAATTTCAGGTTTTTATGCCTAATTACTTTTACAGTCAAGTTGTTGCTTTACTACCCATTTCCAGGATATAGAGGAAGTTCAAGTTTCAGCCCTCGCAATTAACATAAAACAACCCCGAGTCTGTACAATGAATAATTACATTTTATGCAATAATATTTTGACTGAAGTTTAGTACTCTGTACAACTCAAGGAAGTCTTTTAAATCTGCACTTCATGCTGCTCTGGCAAGAGGGAAATCTATAGTATAAAGAAGAGGGTTGATTATGGGTTCATGAGGGGTATCTCTTGGTGGGGCAGGGTAGTGAGCAATGTACACACAATAAGCAACGATAATAATGGCAAACCCAATAAGCAAAGAGTGACTTGCCAAAATAAATTGTAAAAGTTACCCTACTTAAAATAATTTTAATGGATTGTAGTTGGTCATGAACATGTCATAAGTTAGGGGAGATAATTTCACTCTTATCTTCTTGGAGCTCCATTAACAAAACATGGGAGTGTGCCTCTGATTTTGTGTGTCTGGGTAGCTGTTAAAGTGGTTAGCTATGTTGCTGTCGAACAATAAGTTCCTTGTGCCCTCTTGATTCTTCATGATTTGTGTTCTTCAATGTCAAGAATTTGTGCTAAGATGGTGAGAAGAATTGTGGGTTTCCCATATGCGAAGGATTCTGTGTGGAAGGGGTCAACAGAGGTTTTCGTTGTTCCTTGAGCGGGTCTACTAACTTAATGTCAGGTGAAAGTCACCTATCGGTAAGTTCTATTCATTTCTTTCAGAGCACAGAGCGTAATTTGAGGGAGGGGTAAAAGAGACTTCTTCCCTCCCCTTCTCTACCAGGCTGCCCTGCTTCCCTAAAGGCATATCGTGTTCCCCACTTCAAACAAAATTTTAGTACAAATCTCATAAATCCACTGCATGATAAATATAGATATCTGATGTTAATTTCTGGAAAGCATTCACTCTGAAGTTTAGAACATGGTACAACTTAAGAAAGTGTTTTAAACTGACATCGCACCGTCCTGGTGAGGGGGAAATCCAAGGTGGAGGGTGATTAGAGTTTTATGAAAGGATTCTTTCAATAGGGAGGGGTAGTGAGCACACTATGTAACTAACTACATACTTATAATAAACAAAATGTGAGCAATCTAAATAACTTGTAAAAATTACACTACTGAAATACTTTCAATCGTTTGTAATTGGTCACAAAAGTAACGTTATAAGTTAGGGGAGGAAATTTCACCCTAGAAACATGTCGGAGTGCCATCATCAAATAGTGCTGTGATCGTGGTGGTGTGCCCCTGTAATTTTCTGTGTTGGGTTAACTGTCAAAGTGGTTAGTTACAGTGCTGTCGTCCAGTTATGTTTCTCGTGCTCTTTTGATTCTTTCTGATCTATGTTTTTAAGGGTTGATTGATTGCGCTATAATGGTGAGAATAAAAGTAGATTTCTTACATGTTGCATCGAAAGGGCTGCATTTGGCTGTGATTGTGTGATCACAAGAACATTGTTTGATAGCTGTAGGATTTTACATGTCATATGTGTAAGTGTCGAATGAGGTTGGCTAAGTGAAAGGAATTTTGCAATTGTTTTGAGTAAGATCAGGCAGTAAGAAAGGGGTCACTCCTCATATATGTTAGTGTGTGCAGAATGGGTCGCGAGAAGGGGGCAAAGACCCAACAGAGGTTTTATCATTTGCTGAGGGAGCCTCCAAACTTTTCGGCTTGTGAAAGCCACCTATTGGTAAGTTTTATTCATTTCTTTCTGAGTTCAGCAAAATTTGAGGGAGGGCTTAGAGCGACTCCCTCCCCTCTCCCCAGTCACCCCGCTTCTCCAAGGGCATACTGTGTTCTCTACTTTAAGCAGCACTTTTTGTCACTATAAAACTGCAATTACTTTAATCTTACCATTTTGTTGTATTTCACTAAAATTAAAAACTTCAGAAAATTATAGTAAGTTAACACAATGAACATGAAGTAGATTCAACACTTAGAACTATCTCCAATCATTGAAAGCTACTTCTCAATTCTAACTTTCCTTCATCCTCTTCATTAAGGATATCCTCTGTTCACGATCTACAGTTTAAATGACTTCCTTAAGTCGCACTGTATTCTCTACTTCAAACAAAAACCAATGCAAATTAACAAACCATTCACAAAAGTATGACTGTTCAAACATGAAATCACTTGAAGAAAAAACTACGACTAATTGAATGGTTCCCCACAAAGAAAACTGGCACACAAAAGGAGATCATGAAATGGCCAAGAAATTGCAATTGGTTATTCCTGTACAATAATGAAAACCAGTACTTAAGAGCAATAGGAGTTACAAGATGGAAGAAACTTCAAGAAAAAAGGTCTTACCAACTGGTTTGAAACGTCAGCATGATCTTTCCTTGTCATATCATCACCAATAGCAGACTTCATCAAACGACTCAGTGAAGGAAGCACATTCACTGGAGGATAGATCTGCCTATTGTGCAACTGACGATCAACGTAAATCTGACCCTCCGTAATGTACCCAGTTAAATCAGGGATAGGATGGGTAATATCTGAAAAACAAAGTAGCATTAGAACATGCTTTCCAAAAAGTATGTCTTCAAAAGTTTTCGATCTGCCCATCAAGTGGTCACAATTGATAGCACCAATAACTTTCCTGATGAGCAGAAAGTGAACATTATTAATGTAAACAAAATTCTGTGAAACTCATTATACGCACCATCGTTAGGCATAGTCAAAATAGGGATTTGAGTGATTGAACCATTACGACCCTCCACTCGTCCAGCTCGCTCATAAATGGTGGCCAAATCAGTGTACATGTAACCAGGGAAACCTCGACGGCCAGGTACTTCCTCTCGGGCAGCAGACACCTAAAAGAAACCTCGTGTAAACTTTTGTCATGACCACACATTTCCTTTTAATCAGTCATTCTTGATGGAAGATGTTGTGTATACCTCACGCAGAGCTTCGGCGTATGAACTCATATCTGTAAGAATGACCAAAACGTGCTTCTCACACTGGTAAGCCAAGAACTCAGCAGCAGTAAGGGCCAAACGAGGAGTGATGATACGCTCAATGGTAGGATCGTTGGCAAGATTCAAGAACAAGCACACATTTTCCATGGAACCATTTTCCTACAGAAAAATAATTTTTCAATACAATTGAAGCTGTTAAAGTACACTGAAAAATGAAAATTTTTCAGCATGACTAACTTCAAAGTCTTGCTTGAAGAATCTGGCTGTCTCCATGTTCACACCCATAGCAGCAAATACAATAGCAAAATTATCCTCATGGTCATCAAGAACAGATTTGCCAGGGAGCTTCACAAGACCAGCTTGACGACAGATCTGAGCAGCAATCTGAGAACAAAAGCACAAAAATGAAGACATGATCCATGTAAAATAAATTACGCAGAAATTAATGGTTTTATTAAGGTCATACTTCATTATGTGGCAGACCAGCTGCAGAAAATATAGGGATTTTCTGTCCTCGAGCAATTGAGTTCATTACATCAATGGCAGAAATACCAGTTTGTATCATTTCCTCAGGATAAATACGAGACCACGGGTTAATTGGTTGACCTATAAATCAAACGATTAAGAAAAAAAGTAATATTTGTCTAGATCAATTTTTATATTATTACTGTAAATTAAACTTTTCAAGGTATATTTTATGAATACTTTTTGTTGGTATAAAAATCATAAAAAAGGCATTAACTTGTAAATTTCTTGATGTTCATATGCACATGCTTGGAAGTGAAACAAGACACACAATGCTGAACACCTTTCTTAATAAAATACATGGAATATACGTAAATACAATAAAAAATGGTTTAAGCATCTATCCACGATCAATTTATTTGAAGTTCAATTTTGATAAATTCTGAATTTCTTTCTTCTCATAAGCAACAGCTTATGACATTCTTATATTTTTGACAGCAAAAAACCATTTCAAATATGTTATTTACAATATTCTGATTACTACAGTTCATATCTTCTAAATACAGAAATAAGGTAACAAAAATAAATTTAATAAAAAAAAACAAATTACATTTCATCTTCGTATCCCTAAAACTGAGAAGAAGAATACTTAAGTTCTACAATACATCTTCTCAAAGTACATTTGTATGTGAAAAATTTTCTAGCCCATTTGCAAGAAATCTGAAAACATTTAAATAATTATACTAATGAGATTGTCAATTCATCATCCAGAACCATCAGGTCACTTACCCTGAATATCAAGATAATCTTCTGCAAGAATTGGGGGACCTTTGTCAATTGGCTTTCCACTTCCATTGAAAACACGTCCTAACATATCCTCTGATACAGGGGTTCGTAAAATATCACCCGTAAATTCACACAGTGTGTTTTTGGCGTCAATACCTGATGTGCCTTCAAATACCTAGTATCAAACAAAGAAAAAGAATTTAAAAGCAGAGCAATACTATCTCTCCCGTTTTAAGAAATATAAAACTTAACAATGGACCTTACTTCAGTTCATTCTAACTGATTAATCCAAATACAGTACAAGTAGCACAAAAAATCGTTTGAAAACAGTATACTTTTTCATTATCACTTAATTTGCTTCTTGCCTTGAATTAAAAATAATTATAATTTTTTTGTTCATGCTACCACAGTTAAAATTATTTTACCTGTACGACTGCCTTTGAGCCGCTAACTTCCAAAACCTGCCCTGATCTAATAGTGCCATCATTTAATCTAAGCTGGACAATTTCTGCAAACTTAGGAAACTTCACTTCATCCAAGATCACAAGAGGGCCATTTACACCAGATACTGTTTTGTATGCTGCAAAAGAAAAAGAAAAAAATTACACTGTGAAATGGAATGAAAGTATTATCGATCTGAAAATTATTCAAATAGAAATGCGAAATAACATACTGCTGACCTCCTTTACAACCCACCCCGCCCTCGCTCAGAATCAGCTGGTTTGTCTTTCTGATATAGAATTCCTAAAAATATATTTGCTTATACTTACTTAATCGAGGTTGTGAAATAAAATCTCTCGATACAGCTAAAACATGTTCCCTTGCAGCCTGATGAGCCCCAATCACGCCAGAATACGACATTTTTAAGACCGTCGAAGACCGATCGCAATCACGAGATCCTGCCTTCGCCCCTGTCTGGTTGCCCCTTCCACCACAATCTGTCCGTCGATTCACGTGCCATCACGTGATGGTAACCATAGAGAAAAGAACACAGTAAGTTCTCTATTTTTCGTCGAATTTAAATAATCTCTTTATTTCTAGATCGTGGAAATAACATGTTCCTACATTTTAAACATTAATTTAAGAAGATTTCAAAATTGTATTCTTTTAAATGAATTATGTACTTGGTTTATCTTCATACTACACTCAGAAACATCTTCGAAAAATCACTACACTCTCAAAGAATGTATATATAAGTGAATATATTATGTTGCATTGGTGGAGTATGGTGAAGTATTATGGTGCATTGTGCACTAGTACGATGTAATAGTTCGTATGTTCATAGTATTGTGGCTATTTTTCTTTATATAAATTCGTTAATCACGATAAGATTCAAGTGTTCCAGTTTCTAGTACTCAATTTTTTGTTGGAGGCACAATAACAAGTTTTGTGTGATTTCAAACGTCTGGTTTACTTTTGTTATTTAAATGCCTTAATTCATGAACCAGGAACGAGTATGAGACATTAGCAATAAGAGGCTATAATGTGAACTGAGTATTGACATCTCTGAGTTAGTCTTCACAATTTTAATTTTGATATTTGTTGCAATTACAATTTGAATCGCATAGTTTGTCCGCTTTTTGATTCCACAATTTCCATTAGTTATGAACTCTCGCTATGTGCTGACAACTGAGTATGTATTACGCAAAATCAAAGATATTCTAGAAATAAATGTACCTGCCTCTGGTAGCGAATTTCAGAAGTAATAGTCCAGGATGTGAGAATGTACATTCCGTGGTGCAGAAGTTCGTCGATGTCGTCAACTGGTCGTCAACAGAAGTGGTGGGGGATGATGTACAGAAGAGTGGGAGAGGGAGACGGTCCGAGTTCGTGAAGAAGCCAGCAAGAACTGTGCGAGGTGTCTGTGTTGAACCGGGGAACGTGAGATCTGCAACATCCGGGAAACAGAATCAGTATTTAACGCCCCTTAGGATTTTAATTTGATTTTTTAAGAGACAGTAAATATGGCATCTGTTGTTCAGAGAGTGTCATCAGTATCATCGAAATTCAGTGGCACGATATGCAGGGGAGCTGCCGCTGTTACGTCAAAGGCTAACACCCGGCGCTCGTATTACGGCTACAGCAACGAACCTGCTCAACCACTGAATCGCGAACCGAAATGGTGCAGTTTCGAAGAAGCGGTGAAATGTATACAGTCAGGTTAGTTATTATTTATTGTTCATTTTGATTTGCATCGGGTTAAATTTCTCAAAATCTGAATTTCATGTAATTTTAATTGTAATGCGTATGTGCTGCTCGTATTAGTTGTATATCGAACTAAACTAGATGAGCAGTTCTTATGATACAATTGTTAAAAAATGAGGGTTATTATATTTTGTAGAATTGTTCTAATTGTTGTGAACTGTTTGTTTTGTAAATAAAACCTGACCTATATTGGTTAAAATCCATTCCGTGGAAGTGGGAGAGGTAGTTGCGAAAATATTGATTAGCCTTTGGCCATTTCTCTTGTATAAATGTTTCTATCCCATTAATGTCCTGCACATAATTATAACTATGTTGTGCAGATAAATATAATACTCTTTATTATCTTGCTTCAGAGCTTCAAAGAAATTATTTATATCACATACTCGCAAATTGATACAGTATTCACAACAATAAGCCAGAAAGGCTTGATGGCTTTTAGCCCCTTTAGTGAGAAACACCTCTTTCGTGCAGCCATGGAGGAAATATTTTGATAACTAAACAACTCACCGAGATGTTTTTAAACCAGTGGTATTTCACACATTTCGTTGTTGGAAACATGACAGTTGTTTTGGGGGCAAGGTGACGGCACAGTTTCGTCCCGCCTGACACGTGACTAGCGAGCTTTAAGGTGAAGCGGTTGTTAAGAAATACACCCCTCTCCCTGATGAATACGTAATGAGAAAAAGAACGAGAACCCACGACATCCCAAACCATAGGTTCCCTATTCAACCACTTCTCCGGTGTGTAAATCATGCCTTCTTTTTTTCAGGGAATACTGTTTTCGTGCAGGGTGCAGCCGCCACCCCAGTGCAATTGGTGAATGCTATGACCGATCATGGCAAGGAGTCTTGTCTTAAGGACGTCACTGTGTGCCACATGCACACAGAAGGAGCAGCTCCGTACGTGAATCCAGATTGCGAAGGTAAGAACGAACCATTCCAGTCCGAACTGGGTTATTCATTTTTGAAACAGATCGTCCTTTGGAATTGCCAATTCACACTTGTATGCAAAACAGAGACCACATTGAACGTTCGATTAACGCCTCTTCATAAGTGACAACTAGATAACCCTATCTAGAAACATCATTTTCAGCTTATCGGCGCGGGAGACCATACGCGATTGGGCGCTCCCGCGTAATCCGGAGACCAGATCATCTTTAAGCCTCGTCTTTCGCGTTCTCGGCTTTATTTTGAAGTCCACTTGCGTCACCGCTCCCCGACGCAACTCCTTCGTACGCGTGCACCCTTCAGTCAACCAACCCCGCCGGCCTACAATTCGAGCCAAAGGAATAGCAAAACCGACGCGTCACGGGAGCGCTAGGTGTCGTGGGGCGGTGGTGGGGTGTGTCTTGCGACGCTAGTTGCATTACGTCAACTGGCGCCTGCCTGTGGGCCGATTCGTTCGCGGCGCCCGTCAAGGACACCTGCTGTATTTTTGAACTCGCAACTACATTAGTAGCCGCGGAGCAGAACTGATATCGGTTATGTGCGATTCGGCAGTAGTTTTTGGGTGTGAGCCGCGAAACGTGTTTCAATGAAGCGCAGCTGCGGCGTTGTCGGCGCCACTGTTCTGCGGGGCTACGTAGTTACGTAACGGTCATGAAAATGCGAGCTTGCGATCGAAATATGCCAGTCAAGATGCAGTGTTGTAGTTTCACATTCCTTTTCAGAATCAAAAGAGGCCCTTTGATCTTTGCGGTATAGAATTCCAGTTTATGACTGACGCTTATCCATTAAAATATTAGATCAAGAGGTTTATCACGATCTGTATAGTCGTATTCTCTGCAGATTGGTCTAATCGCACCAATACAATGATTAACCACTGTCTATATGTATTCTTAATGAAAAGCCTAGAGGAATATTTCATCTGAAGAAGCTGCAATTAAAAATGGTAGATAGATTATTATTGTTCTTTATATATTTAGATTTATGATTGCTCTTATTGAGCTCCCGAAGTTCTGTAAACTAATAAACTGAAAATATCTGCAGGAAGATGCTAAAAAAGTTCCATTGGATGGTTCATTTTCATAATACTCCGACTTTCGAAGCAGAACCGTATAATTTGAACCGTTGGCGTTTCGATTTTTAACTATTGTCTCAAATAGCTCACAGCTTTGGAGTTACGTAATTGGATAATATTACATGCTTTCTCACCTTAGTAACAACGTTATACATGATACAAAGATCAGTTCTAACATCTTTGTATCAAGGTTCTAGTCTGCTCTGATAACAATAGAATTGTTGCGAATTAACCCAGGGTAGTAGGAGTAACTCTATCCAGCAGGCAGGATTTTGCTTTTTCTTCTCCCTTTGCTGCTGCACATCGGAGAACGTTTGTAATTTTACTGAAACTGTTGAAGTGAGATTTTTCGTGGAGAAAAAAAATGCAATTGCAATATCGATGCAGACTTCTAACTTTTTGATTTTATGGAGTTTTGAGTACTCAAAGTAAGAATGAACATAATAAAAGATAAAAGCAGTTAATTCCGAAAATTGGCAGCGCGGTGCAAATCGATACCTCTTTCAGTGACGTGTATAGAAGCAGGACTTCGTTGGAATTACCAGTAGATGGACAGAAAAACCCACGGAAGGGCTGGGATTTACCTGTTTGTCAATATTCTTTAGATTGCCAAACGTGTGGAAAACGAGGTTTCATGCGAAACCAAAGGAGTGATATGTAGGGTTTGTAAGTCTTCTTTGGCCAAATAGGTAAGACCTGTACGGAAACTTTTTTTCGTATCAGAAGACAGAAATAGATTGAAAGTGAGTTTGTCCCCCTCCCTCCTACCCTACACACCTTTCACTTCTTGCTTTTGCGCGGGACGCGTGTCTTCTAAAATACATTTCCATTCTGAGTTAGTATTTTAAGTGAATCTGCAAAACACTTCCATTTCTATGAAAAGTTTTCCCGAAACATTTCAAAGCAGGAAATGCTTTGAAAGTTTATTTTTGGCACTTCGACGTTCTTAACTTGAAATGCGTGAGTCAACCTCTTCCAACATCAGTGCTTCATAAAACCTAAAGGGAATGCACGTTATTTGATACAGAGCACTCTCTCAAAAGCGTTTTGTTTTCTTACCGTCAAATGCTTACCCCCCTCCAAGAAAGTAATTTGCTAAGAAGTTTTTAAAAGTATGCATTACAACGGATGCTCGTGAAGCATCGCCAGCCGTTTTGAAGCCACGGGCTCTGTGCCCGAGGGGGGGCCATCTATCGATTTCATTCCACTTTGGTCGAAAGGTCGTAGGTCTAAGCGTCAAAACCAAGCATTATTGCGTAGTCTTTGTAAGAAAAAGTGGAAGTTACGGAATGTTCCTTTGAAGTAAAGAAATGTTTAGGTTGGTGAACCATAAAATAATAGTAGTAGACACCAGTTGACTTGAAATGCTGCTTGTGCTTTTTTTAAACGTTCAGAAATTATTTTTGGCATAGATTAGAAAACGTGTTGCAAATACAATTACTATTGCTTAAAATAAAGCGATAAACTAATAGAAAACTATTTTGAGGTTTTTATTACAATCTAGAGTTAATATTAAATTAGTTGTGATGTTAAACGGGCAGATTCAAATATTGCTAATCTGTTAGTTGTATCGAAGTAAAAAATACACGAAACCGTTTTCAATTCTACAAAATCACTACTTATCCATACTAAAGAAAACTGCACAATAATTAAAAGATCATTAAAGCAGTGAATAATCGTTACAAAAGGCTTTAATAAAAAATACATTTTAAAGTCCGAAGCTCGTTATCAGTGTTTACGTGCGGGTTAGCAGTGACTGTAATGCATCCATTACAGAATGTCATGGCTTGCAAATCCGGGACCTGATTACAGCTTACGTAAGTGCCCTTTGTTGCCGCTCTATAGACAAGGTGTATGCCAATGACTGAAGAATGTGGTAACTGAATGAATTCATTCACACGCCGACACGGCTACTGTTTTATTAATACGGTATGTAATAGGAACTGTAAACATTTTTATCGTAATTTAACTTTGCAATGAAAATGTTAATATGCAAACACTATAATAATCGTGAGCTTTTTTCCAAACACTGTCGTCTATTATTATTATTATTATTATTATTATTATTATTATTATTATTATTATTATTATTATTATTATTATTATGAAAGATGGATTCTTATATTGTCGTAGGTCGGGTAATCGCAGTTGGCATTATTTTATGCCACGTAGTACAAAACCCCGTAAATTATCAATGAAAGTGGTGCATTTTCCCCAAATTTAAAAATGTGCAGGATATTCGCTTTATCAGCATGAACTCATGAACTCTTCGCTTCACCAACGGATTCGCAACGAGATGACAAGATGTCCCCGGATAGTTTCCCTCTCTGATGCACCCAGTTCCTTGTAAAAATGATTCAAGTATGCATTTTTAATTGCGAGACATTCTGTAGTACGGCCAGTTTTATAAGGTCTGAATAAAATCAGGTATTTGACAGGTAAGTGTGGCGTGGTCGTAAACTACGCGCTCTATCGCTGTTCGATGTAGTTCCTACCAGAGGTGGATTGGTAGAGAATACTAAGCACGAGCATAGGGCTAGATAAAAATCCTCACTAGCTTAAATAAAATTGTATTAATTCTTTTTTTTTTTAATGCAGTCTATAGTTTATTTTCATTGTTTACATACAATGTTCATTAAAAAAAAAATATTAGGGTTCCTTAGAGTCCGTTAAGACTTGCGTAATTAGCCCCCGATACGTAACCCCGACCTGTCAACAGTCGATTTTTTACCTGCAGTTTGGTGTAGGCATCCCGCCGGGCACCGCTGCACGTCGCGAAAGAGAGCTGCGCCGACAGACGCACTGCGGCTCCTGACGGTGAAGATGCGGAGGCGTCGAATTTCTGAACCCCTTTCACCGAATACAAAATCCCTACCGTTGCGTATGGTTTTTGTGCGGATTAAAAAGAAAAGTTTGGTCACGCGGAGCTTAGAACAGGGCACCACCTCATCGTAGAATGTACAGAACTTATATTGGCAGATCTCAGTTCACATTCCCCGTACAATACCTGCGTCGTATAACTGGAATTTTGAAAGCAATAAAAAAGTATTATATTATCAATCATTACAATATATTATGTTGATGGTTGTGGATGGTGTAAGATGATTGTCGATTATTTTATTAACTTAAATAAGTAACCATGAAAAATAAAACAGCCGAAGGAATGCTCTAAGTGAAGTAAAATCATAGGGGTAAAAAAGGAAAATTCCAGATGGCTTTTGTTTATAGTGATGGCTGCTGATATTTGATACTCGCGTTTCCTCCAAAAATTGGTTCATGGAGGTATGTTTTGGAAAGAGCGCTCAACTTCTGTATACTCTGGATAATTTTTTGTTGCCGTTTCAACTCCGAGTGCCCGCTTTCTGTGTTATCTTAAAATTTCAACTTACATAAGAGGACATCGAACTTGCAGGTTGATTCGATAACCCGACGAGAAAAGCTAAAAGCATTGCAATTGTGCACTTTAATCGATTGAACTTCGTTCTTGCGTTTGCTCGAATTTTTGACCTGGTCTCGTGGGTGTGACTGGTGAAATTTTGTCTGAGTCTGTGCTTCACTTTTTTTATTCCTTCTTGAGCTGAAGGTCACGTCATCGATGAGGAGAAGTTACAAAGTTCAGTAATTCGCGACGTATGGTTGTGTTTTACGCCTCGAGCCTAATGGTCAAATGCATTGCTAGAGTGAATGACAAGATGCACATTTTTGCTCATCAGCAGAATGGAACAAAAGGTGTTGTCTATTTATTCTTCCTGAATCTGAACGATTGACTTTGACAGCTAAGTAATCACAGCAAGTGTCATCTTTTTACTTAGTTATAATCAATCCTCATCGAATCGTATCAAAGTATTTTTGTATTAAGTTAATTGCAGCTGTGCAAGAAGACGGCTGCTCTAGTAAAGGTTTACTACGTAAATAGTATGTGCGTGCAACTAGCGGTGACTGTCACGCAAAGGTCCTGCGTCAGACGTTCAAAACAATGGGAGGAAATAAAACGCAATTGCTTGGTGCCTGTAACGACGGTAAGTTCTCTCCTTTCAGTCATGTACTCAAATGTGGTATCCTCTAGCGAGTGTATTTATTGACGAAAACGATAATATAATCCCTATGCGCGATGTTCAGGAGGGGAAAGATACATTTAATGTTCAGAAGTAAAACAAAGAGACCGTCTGAGATTGCTTAGTGAATCAACGGAAACAAGTTGAAATCCGATGTAGATGAGAAAGAACGTGGTACATCTAAGAAAGTGGTATAATTCAAAAACATTCTAATTCATGTAAACAAAATGGTGTTTAATTTATGTAGTGTTTAGCAGGTATTCCCAACCTTGTCCTTTCATCGACCTCTTTTATGAAAATTATTTGCTTTATCGCCCCCCTTACGTTTTCTCTATAATATATAGAATCCGTAACAGTAACAAAGAATTACATATTCATGCCTGAAAATAATTTCGTATTCCAATATTCTCGTAAATATCTCGTTTTTCGAAAATCGAAGACACTCTCCGCTGTTGAGTGGCTGAATTTTTAATCGTCACTTTAGCCCAATGATTACAAAATGTCCAGTGTTTTTTTTAACTGGCCATTACATTTCTCCAGTGCGTATTGCGGAGAATATTTTATTGAGCATTGAGTATCATTGACAATGCATAGTCATAATTGTTCAGTTTTCTAAACATCCCAACTCCTTAGAATTAACAAAGGATTCGAAAGAAGCTGGACGATCTGAAATTTATTATTATGTTTTGTTGCTTTTTATCTGACAACAATTAGTTACCAAGTTTTTGAATACTTTTTTGTAATCAATGGAATCTTGATTATACTGATCAGTCGCCAGTTCAGGTTTTAAAATTGACCCCCAATAGACTCCTTGATGATCTCTTACCCCCTTCAAAATTTCCTCGCCACCAAAGAGTAATTTATATTATAAATTACATATTGTGCGTTTTCGCAACTGAATGAGGACAGGTTTCCATTCGTTGTGTTATGAGCTTTTCCCATTCTTCTTCCTTTTTTAAAATAACATTAGTAGAATACTTATCACCAAGCTCATTTTATAGGCTTGAAAACGTAACTGGTAGAAAATCATAGTATAAAATCTGAAGAAATGGGTATGTAACAGGGGCTCGAATGGCTAACTGATATTCTGGTGTATCTTGCAAAATTACGGAACAAAATTTCGTAATTTTGGTTATCAAACTTAAGTAGAACCTTGTGTGTTGAATATCGAAGAACCCTTAGACTTCGGTCTTTGTTCCCGGTAGTCGCATCATCAACGATAGGTCGGAGCGAAAGAAACATCACACCCACGATCTCGTCCTTTATGACGTTCTTTTGTTAGCTGTTGACCTCTCCCACTCGGAAGGAAATCGTGTTGACTACAACAGGGCTCTCTGGAACGCCTCTTTATACGAGGAGAAGCAAAGATTACAGTTGAAACTCAGCCGTCCTGTTATCCCGTTTCATTGAAACGACCGTGATGCGGTCGACGAGCGTGATTATGTTCAATTACGTAACGTTTTTAGTGCGCTCCGTTCCGCGACAAATTACTAGTAATTATTCACGAGTATTTTAACATTGTAAAATGCAACTGAATGGGCATGGACAGCATGAGTAGAGCGACATATTTGCGGCTCCCGCCTTTCCGTACCTCTTAGATTCAAGGTCGGTTAAAAATCACAAAAACACGAAACTTTAGCACGCAACCAGTTAAGAGGCAAAAATGTTTCATGAGGAACCGTAACATCCACCGTGTTGAGGGGGATCTTTGTTATGAAGCCCCTCTGGCTACCTCCTCCTTAACCATTTAAACAATACTACTACTAATAATAACAATAATAATAATAAACAAATAAACAGGTTAGCGTGTAAGCGTCTTCCGAATATATCTGACAATACTCGTGTTTGCCAAATGACATTTTAATTAAATTAAGAAACCAGTGTTGTGTGGATATCAATATATACTATTCACTATATACACTATATTCACTATATACAACGAATACAATGATCACATGGCGATCGGAAAGATCTTACTTAAATTATCTTTATACATGACAAGTCTCGTTTCTTAATCTATAAGAAGGTATTCGTTTGCCCTAATAATACAAAACCAGTTTGAGTACTTGTAATACAAAACCAGCAAGATAGGAATGCCTTCATATTAATTTACGCAAGTAAACACGAGGCTAATAATTGCATAGTATGTCATACGAGTTAATCGCATCTGTCTGTATACTTATGGCAGTAGTGACACTAAATGATACTTCTTTTATAGTTCTACCGAAAACGTGAGAAATTAAGGTTGCAAAAAACTGAAAAACTAACGAAATTAGAAGAGCAGGAATCGAAATGTAAATGGAGGGAATTATTTTAATTTATTTTTTAATTGACAATTTATGACATGGTTAGACAAAATCAGCCCGATTGAGACAACGAATATAATTGTCGTATTCGTCGTTCGCTCAATATTATTTTGTACGAATAATATTGGAAGAACAAAGATACAGTTAGTCAATGGGTCTGCGATTCTAAAACTTCAGAAGTTAAATTGTCCTTTTGTTCGATGGAAAAGCCTGAGAGGACTCATTCTAAACTTAACTCTGAAGACGGCATAGGCATTATACTTGTCTGCGAATATATTCCGGGAATATGAATATTTATATATGGTATTCAATTGGAGGGGTCGGACCCTTCCAGAGTTTTAAAGCTGTTTCAACAAATGTTTATACTTCCTGAAGCTATCTTGATAGAAGAGAATTTGCTACTTTTTCTCGCAATATCTCGAATTTCATGGACTTGCTCTTCAATAAGGATCATGAGTTTTACGCAAAATATGTTAATAATATTTATACAAATTAAAATCATCTGCCATTATTAGAGAACGTATTGGGTATAAATAAAAAAAAACATTACCAAATCTAATATGCACTAAATAGATTTCTACCAGAGTTCTGTGCGACTATCGAAGCTTGGAATCAAAGCTTTTGAATTGCAATAAAAATCATCGTGGCAGTATTTTGGCTCATCACTTCATTTGCACTGAGGGGGAAAAAACAGAACGTTCGCACTGAGTGGAAAAAACAAAACAATCGTAATGGAGAAGTAGAATGGAAAACGGTGTTTTTACAACAGCTTGCACAGGAAACACATTCCTGTCTGTACTGGCATTGTGAAACGCTGTTAAGGAAACGGTAAATGAATATGAATTGCTTTCATTAAATGCCGAATGCTTTACATTCTTGGATATTCATTGTGTGATCATTACACGCATGTAGGTTTAGGTCAATCATACCGTTCGTTATGCAAAAAAGAAGAGAGGGCAGTCGCGCCGAGTCAGCTGGTGGCAGTACTCGAGTCCCCACTCCGTCGCCTTCTGGCCGCACTGTACCTCGCCCTCGCCACGAATGCCGCGCTCTATTACCAATAATAAAACAATTAGCTTAACAAGACGCGGCGGCGGAGACTGCGGCATCTGCAGGCGCGACGAGCGCAGGCATTCGAAGCACCGAACGGCGCGGAGGCCCCGGGTCGCAACGAAGGGCGACGGTGTTGCTTTCAAGCTTAGAAGAAAAAGATCTCCCTTTTAAACGCCTTTATTGTGAATTCAAACTATGTGGTAGTGATTTTTTAAAATAAAAGATGTCTTCTAAAAAAGGCGAGATGCTCTCACGAGCGAAGTAGGCGCGAGTGTGGCATCTTTCTAGAGTAAAAAGAAAAATAATTAAAAAAGCTTTTGAAACACCTTGTTTAAAATTTGACTCATTCGTTTTAGTGAAAAGGCAATGAGCGTCCAGAGAATATGTTTGGTTAATCAGCCGCACCTTACGCAATTTTATCATTAAGAAGCGTCGTCAGTCTTCTGAATAAGATAGAATATTAACTCACAGTTTGTATATTTGCTTGGGAGAGGGGGGAGGGACAAAGTACTTTCACTTTCAACACTTTGCAGAGAACTAGTTTTCAACTGTATTGAGTCGAATTTAACTTCTGAGTCTGCCACCGGTTACAGATAGTCCAGAGAAAATGGCAAATATCAAACAAAAATTCTGGTTCTTCGAATGCCTTAATTTACAATTCAAACGCTTGCCACTCTCCCCGTTTTAGTTGAACATTTTTCGACTAGCTATTAAACGGCAAACTGAATCAAAGAAGTAAATGAAAACATCCTATTGATGATAGAAGTGCTTGAGTCATTGAAACAAAAGCCAGAAGCATGCTTTAGAAATGGTGCCTGCGATGAGTTTAATACTGAAGATGGGTGGGAAGCAAGTAGTTGCAGAACATCAATCTGTTGCTTTCTTCTGATTTTACTTTTTCATATACGGAGTAATATACGCAGTTTAGTGAAAGTTAGGTAATGCTGCAAAAAATCGATTTCGAGATTTCAACGGAAAAATTTTGGTGTCTCCTGACCCCGAAAAAGTGTTGTATTTTCCTTCCAATATGTGTTTTCCTTCCACTATGTTCGTCCGGCAGTGAAAAACACTAGCACCTAACCTATTCGTTAATTAACATTCTCCGGTCGATGAGGCCGGTACCCTCGAAATACTACCGAGGTTTCCGGTCTGGCCCAACTCGAAGCTCTGCGAGTTTGAACAGAATTCTTTAAATGTTGGGGGTATATTACTTGAAGCCCTTTGAATATTTTAAAAATTCTCTCAAAAGTGGCTCCTAATTTCTTTAAATTTCTTGCAAGAATAGAGTGACATATTTATAATTAAATGTGCTCGAATTCCTATGTTAACTCTAAAATTCGGGAAGTTGTAGAAGTATGAATTTTTGTTCAGTATCTTCCTTCAATTACAATATTAAAGATAGCGATTTCCCTTCAAATGAAATTTGTTCTCCACAATTAGTTGTATGATTTATGCCATGCGGGTCATTTCATGACAAAACGCACGCTCTCAAAACATCACTATTTTTTAGCGACTTGAAACTTTTTTATGAGGTCTAGGGTTGAAAAGAGAACATTTATTTATTTATTTATTTATTTTTAATCCCACCTGTTTCAGAAATATTACCATTATTTTTTTCGAAAAATCATGCGCGTACTATTTAATATTTTATTTGCGCAAATTCCGTTTCCTTCAGAAAAATAAAATTACACTTAAATTTAATTTAAAAGATGTACTTGTATATGATGTAAATTTTTTGTAAACATATTATTTAAATATTTAAAATATATTTCAATTGTTAAAATGCAAATTTTTAGGTCGACACGTAAATTAATTGTAAAAAGTACTCATGTATTTCTACAATAATGTTGGATAGAACTACCAACTTTCAAAGTGGGACACATAAATAACATTAAAATAATCGTTTGTTCACTGGAGTACATAGGCAGCCCACTCCCCGCCGGACTCGCAGCTCGAACTATGGAGCGTCAATGACATGACGGATCGTGACGTCCAACATAAAACAACCGTAAGACTTATGTCATGTTATGAATCACAGAAACACGCGTGCTGTCCCAAATGGAAGTCTTCTGACGAAATTCGACTATTCAGTGTACTTATAAACCACTGACAATTCTAGGGTCTGCCTGAAACAGAGTACTCTTCTTCTTAGATACACTGATTCCGTTGTATAAACGGAGGAATCCGCGAAACATGTGCATTGTTCTGTGAAGTTTGTAACCACAGATAGACTTACAATAATATAAATACTATTGTTATTGCACTTTCTTAATATGAACATCTATAATTGCAGAAGAAGTGTACGTTTAGATTACAACCAGCATTTTTAAGAAGTTGAAAATTGACTGGTTGCCGCCATAAAAGTTTTGTGTATTGGAGAAACTGGCTTTCAAAATTCCTTTTCGCGTCGAGTACAGTGAAGCTTTTTCAAGAAAGTGAGAATTGGCCGTACTCAATATTGCTGTTGAGTTCAGTCATTAATGATTCGTTAATGTTGGGAATTAACATGAAATGAATAAACATGCACCGCAGGTCCTGGTCACACTAACATATCACCTGATACGAGTAATAAAGAAACTGCCCCAGTAAGTTCTGTTTCTTCTGAGGTTTTCACCCATAGTTTACTGTCTTCTGCTCTCTTCATGAGACAAAAATAAAATTTTAACGCCATGAGTTTTCATTGTCCAGTGTAATTTCCTTTTAAGAAAATTATTCAGAGACTGTTTTGATTTAATATAGGAGCTACTTTGCATCCTTTTGTGCCATTCTTCAGAGAAAGCAAATTTTTGAAAAAAAATTTCTAGATACCTGAAACACGACACAAATTCAATTTACCTTTTTCAGTGCAAACTCATAACACTTCTCAAGTAAGTTTATAACAGTGTTAACAGGTGTATTTTTCGAATGAGGTCAGTACCTAGTATTACAAAACCATGTGAGTTTATGCTTCCTCAAAGATGCCTTCAATGTGAGTGCTGAATAGCATTTCTTCACTTCGCAACATCTTATGAGAAGGGACCTTGCAATGTAGGGAGGAGGTGGGACAACTAGTATTATTGATAAAAGCAAGGGTTCATTCCTGACAGGAACCTATTCATTTACCCAGGAAGTTATTTAAGTGGGCTGATGATAATGCTTTTATATTTTTAGCAACGCTGAAGTATACGTAGAAAGAGAACTACTGCAACAATGATATAATAATAATAATAATAATAATAAAAACAGAATACACAAAGAAAATACATAGTTTATTTCTTTATGAAAAGGTGAATTAACGATATTCTCTGTAAAGTGAAGTAAAAGAAATATCAACGTAATGAACTGTATCACATACTCTTATTTGTATTAATATTCTGTCTGTATAATACTAAATTGAATCTGTTTGACACTTTTTCAATTGAATTTAATCAACTATGAAGGTCATATGTATGTATATGAAACAAAGTAAGATGTAAATGAATATTTCTATTTATTGCTCTGTGAAGGTATATTAATAGTAATCGTCTACAGCTGATTAGCATGTGCTTGAAGGGTGACACTCTAGCAAACGCTGCAGCAAAACAGCAAGTAGACACTTCTATTGTATTTAATTTCTAAAAATCATCATGTCCCACTTTTTAATTCACCAAACTTGTATAAAACTTTTCAGAGATTTCTAGGGCATTTTTACAAATCTTTAAACTGTAGTTAGGGGGGGGGGGGGAAGATAACATTTTTTTTTCTTTTTTAAACTCAAGGAATTGAGTATATACATCAAATAAAAAAGCATCTTTTGTTCTTTAATGTAGCAAAATATTTAATTTCTGTCACAATTAACACACAAGTTAAAAATGATTAACTTAAGCAATGTGTGCATTTCTTTGAAAATTAAGAAAATCTTGAAAAATAGTAAATGGGAAAAAATAAAAACAAATGTTTCACGTTTTTACTTATACTCTTCACAGAAGAAAAGTTTTAAAATCTGAGACTGTAGGTCAAATTTTCCTTAAATACGTGCAATTTGATGTGGAATGACCCAGGAACTGTTTTCTTAAGATTTTAGTTTTGCGTAATTGGGCTCAAGAAATATTTACTTTAAAACTGCACCAAATTTTTGAATGAAAATAAACACATAGGACCAAATTTTAGCCTTCTGTAATATTTGTAAAGTCATTTTTTGATTTTACTATTAGGAAAAAATTGAGAAAATGTGAAAAAATATCTTTGGTGCCAATAGATGGCAGTGGAAAAGAGTGGGCCAAAACCAAAAAAAATGTCTAGACTGTCGAGATAAAAAACTAACCAGTATGAGAAAGTCAGTGCCATTATGTAATACTACTAGTTTTAACATATACCAAAAATTAGTACTCTAAAACAATAGTACTCCATATTGTCAGTAAAGTTCCAGAGCTCTCTATTTAATCTATAACAAATTTTTATTGAACATTTCTGTAACAACTTTTCTCACATAATTTTAAACTTCACACACAAAATGAACTATTGGTTTTATTGTTTTCTGTAGGCATTTTCCGATCATTGTCTTTCTTCATGGCAAAAAATGTCCGGAAGTCAGTAGCTGAAGGTCGCTCTGATGCTGTTCCAATTTTCCTTCATGAAATACCTCTTCTGTTTCACAGGAAGATTGTTAAACCAGATGTGGCTTTGATTCAGGTACTCATAAATTTACAGTTTTAAATGCTTTTTAATCATTGTAGAATTATAATATTTCTGCAATAAAAATATCTAAGAATGAATGCTGAGAAAATGCATTATGGATTAGTGTTTTGTTAAGAGTTCTTTTGTATTGAATTTGTTTCGCAAATAAATTTTGAAACCTTACCGAAATTTCTAGGTGTCTCCCCCAGATCAACATGGCTACTGCACTTTAGGCACAAGTGTTGATTGTGTAAGAGCTGCTCTTATGTACTCCAAATGTATTGTTGGTAAGATATAAGCAATTACTTTAGTTCTTTGTGGATTTTTTGTGACTTCTACAAACTAACTTATAAATTTTTCATAACAGCCCACGTGAATTCCTGCATGCCAAGGACATTTGGTGATGGCATTATCCATCAGTCACATTTTGACTTCGCTGTCAAGCACGATTGCCCCCTTCCTGATCATCCAGCAGGTCCTGCTACTGAAGCTGACACCAAGATTGGCAAATTCATTGCTGAAAATTTAGTGGAGGATGGAGCAACTTTGCAGATGGGTAAAATGCTTGGTTCTCAATCCTTTGAGTGTCTTCTGCAAGTATACATTGGTATTAAGGGTTTCCTTTTTCCCCTTCCACAGGAATTGGATCTCTTCCAGATGCAGTTCTTAATGAACTGACCAATCACAAAGATTTGGGAATTCATTCTGAAATGTTTGCTGGTGGAGTTGTTGACCTTGTACAAAAGGGATGCATCACCAATAATGCAAAGACCATTCACAAAGGAAAAATCATTGGTAGTTTCCTGATTGGGCCTCAAAAACTGTATGATTTTGTTGACAATAACCCATTTGTTGGTAAGATTAGCATTTACTTTATATTACTTCAATATTTTGTGTGTGTTATTAGTTTATAATTAATTTATGTAAAACATTTTCAGAAATGCTGGAAGTCTCCTATGTAAACAAAGTAGGTGTTGTTTCTCAAAATCCTAAAATGACAGCAATAAATTCTTGCATTGAAGTAGACCTGACTGGCCAAATCAGCTCAGATTCAATCGGAACCAGAATGTATTCAGGTGAAGTAAACCATCTTTCTCAATGTGTTAATGTGTATAATACACTAAGAATAAATGATTGTTTTTCACAATTTTATATGAAACCTTGGACACAAAACCCCATAAAGGATCTAGTGCTAGATTAGAATTACTCCCAATTCTGCATCAAACAGATTTAAGAAATTTGCAGATTATGAAGTAATGAACAGTTTACTGCAACACAGTACATTCACACTTTAACTCAGAAACAATGTCCCCAAGGACCTTATTGTATGATTTATTTATACATGTGTTTGAAGTAAATCAGCTCTTGATGATTTCATCCAATCCAGAGCTTATGTTACTACATCTTATGTTACCAGGCTCCTGATTGGATGAAACAGTCAACAGCTGATTAACTTCAAACGCACGTATAAATATATCCAAATATAAAACAAGGGTTTTGGGTGCGTCTGAAGGGACTTGAGTTATGTGGGAGACATGCAGAAACACATGGGGCATTAGGCTTCTTAGGAAGTATTCTATTAAGCGAGACCTATTTGAACCTTCTATTATTTTTTTGGAAATGTATGGGGATTCTACTCTGCTGCAGGGGTGGTGAGATACAAGCAGTAACTCCAAATTCATTTGTGAAAATTTAACCTCGGTGTTTATCAATGTTAGAATGTGCTCAAGGCCAGGCTGTCATGCCTCACACAGTCCAGCAGCTGTCTGAAGTTACAATTCAGTATAAAACTACTTTTACTTTTCAAACAATAATTTACAAAATATGGAAAGTTTACTCGAGTCCACTGGTGTTAATTTAATTCAGTATCTTGCCTCGAGACGATAAGGAAAAGGATGTTAGTTACCAGTATATCAATTTAGATAAGTTTAAGAAACTGATAAAGAGTGATGGAGAAAAATAAGATTTTGAAGATTGAAATTGATGGACTGAATCTACTTTTTGTATCGTATGTTTTGCACCAAGTACACCAACACAATTATTATGTATTGTTAATTTAAAAAATTGTGTTAATTATGTTCACATCATGATGAACAAGGTTTTTGCATAAAAACCAGGGACCAGAAATTAAATAATTTAAGAACTTTCAATCAACAATCTGCACAAATCATCACAATGGCAAATAACTTTCATCTGTTTTGTTCTGCCAAATTGTCAAAAGAAAAGGAGCTAGTGTAAAGAACAGAGCATGGTAGTAAAGAACAAAATTGTTGGCCTTTAGGAATTGTTTAAATAAATGTTGTGTCAGTGATTGAAATTACTCTGTGACGGAAAAGGGAAGGGAGTGTGATAAAAATGGATATAAGGCAATTGTAATATGCTTTGCAGGTTTCAATTGTTAAGTTATTTTAAGTAACGCTAATATACTTTTTCAGGATTTGGAGGTCAAGTAGACTTCATTCGTGGTGCAGCTGAAGGTTTTGATGGAAGAGGAAAACCAATCATTGCATTGCAATCAGCTACCAAGAGAGGTGAATCCAAGATTGTACCCACATTGAAAATAGGTAATAATTCAATCATATTACCATAATGTTGATTTCATTGTTTTTTTTTCCCTCCCACATGCAAATTTCTCACTCAAATGATGGTTGTCTAGGAGCTGGTGTCGTCACTACCAGGGCTCATGTTCACTATGTAGTAACAGAGTATGGTATTGCCAGTCTGTTTGGAAAGAGTCTGCGCCAGCGAGCATATGAGCTTATCAACATCGCTCATCCAGATCATCGTGAAGCCCTTGAAAAGGCTGCATTTGACCGGCTCAAGGTCATGCCATCATGTTGAAGATAAATCTAATCTAAAGAAACAATTCCAGGCTTGCCGAAAATTTAACACAGTTGCTTTTTGGAACTTGGGGGATTTGGAAATAGGAAATAAGTTGTTGATAAAAAAGAAAATGATGCATTTCTACAATAGGTGCTTGAATTTTGCTTATAAAGATAGTGCAGGAAACCTTGTGCATTGAATTTGAGAATTTTTTGGCACCAGCAGTGTAGATATAGAACAATTTGAAAGCAGCTTGTGGACAGCTTGACAAAGAATAGCTGAAGTTATTGAAGTAATGGTGTTAAAAATAGGCGGTATTAAGTGAGCACAAACTTGTTAGATAAAGACCTCCTTGTTGTGTAAGTAATGTGTAGGAAAGTAGAAATTACATGCTCATTAATACTCCAATAAAAGATGTATTATATGGTACAAACAACTGAAGTACATGTATGCACATAGGTTTTTAGTGCCTTTTGAAGACAACAGTTCATCCAGTTAGAGGAACAACTCTAACAAACCAGGCAGTTTTTACAGGTTTCAGTGTCTACATTTTAAATATGCAACTGATCTTATGTTTCATATTGTATGAATTATCTATTAATAAGCATTGAAGTTCTTAAGTCCTTTTTATAAAATAGAATGTACTTGTTTTATTGCAAGCCAATACATCATAACAATAACAACCTTCAAGTAATTGTATTGAACTTTAAGAGGAGCATGGAGAAGAAGAATTAACAATTTTCTTTTCCAAGGCTTCAATTTCATATGCTTTGTGCCTTCATCCACTCTCAAATAGAACATTAAAGGTTCAACTTCCCTGAGACATTGAAAAGTACCTTGGGGAAAAATATCACAAACATAAGAAAAGGTAACAATAAATTAAAAATCAATGTCTGTGGGAAGTGTACCTTCACGACGTGCTTTTTCAATATTTTGATAAAAATCAGAGAAATCCACGTAAGGTTCAATTCTCTTATCTTTGTCAGTAGGATTTGTTCTGGCTGGAAACAAATCAGAAGAACTTTCAGTAGTTGAAGTGTCATTGTTTTGATCTTCCGTTGTGTTGGTGCCACAAGTGTCTGTATTTTCAGTTGTAGTAGTATCTTCACCTGCACCCCACGAAGAAGAAGAGACTGTGGTCACCACTGGGTTGAACCGAACCACAGCGTTAGTTGGCGAATTCAATGCATTGGGCATGGCAAAGTTAAAGTTCCGAACTAGAAATGTCATATCATCGCGACGTCCACTAACTCTTGAATTTCCACCAGGTGTTGAACCATTCATATAACTGTCGTGGTGTATACGGCCAATTTTTTCTACCACTGTCTGAGCAACACCATTGAGCGTAGACTGGACTCTGAACTGAAAAATAAAAATGGCTCTTTGTACATTTCAATAAATTCAATTGGAGCTGTTTAAATCAGCTTTACTGCAGCAATGAATCAACAAATCACAAGGCGTAAAATTTTTTTAAAAATCTCAGCTTGTAGGGCATATTTTATTTCATAGTCTTTTTCATTGAATTGATAGCATACAAAATTTTCATTATATTTTCTTAATTATTTATCTTTAGTCCCAGTTCCCTTTGATCTGAAAATGTTGTGTAAATTAACGACAATTTATTTTAAAAAGAATGATTCATACTGTGAACTAAATGTAAAGAAGGAGGAAAAGAAAAAGAAACTTCTTAGATTCCTTTAGTCTTCCACAATAATGTTCGCTGATGAGGCTAATTTTCGCTGAGGAAACTGCTAATAATTTTTGTCTTTCACAAACACTGTTGCTTATAATATGAGAGGTAGGTCTCCTGTTATGCTCATGAATTTTATTAAAAATATATTTTTTAATGTAGAGGAACCAGAAGTGAGACAAGCTGTGCAATTCTAACAGAGACAAGTTTCTTTATAAAGAACCTTGATGGCACAATGGTAGGTCTACGAGAGAGAATATTTGTAGTTATTTAAAAGGCCTGAAAGAATATTGGCAATCTTTGTAAGAATAACAGTACAACAAAGGCTGTCTGCGTGCTTGATTGGTCCCACCAGTTGAATATGCCAATGTGTCCAAATTGCCCCACTAGTCAACAATGAATAAGTGTGGATCTTGCAGGGTGTGACCTGTCAGGACAGGCAATCGATCTCAGCCATATTTGATCAAATGCTAGACACGAGTAACTGAAGGCCACTCCGTGATAGAAATGAACCCCTTTTCCATCATGGGGGCCACCTTTCATTCTCCAATTTAAAGGAGTGCAAGTTGACCTTTGATCAGCTGGGAGGCTATTATCCAATCGTGACCTTCAATATCAAAAGTTAAGTCATAACGAATCTCCCAATTAGAAAATCATATAACACCTAATCACAATCTGTTTAAGTCTTAGTATAAACAGATGATATCTGCATCGGACGTTTCCTACAAAATGAACACGTGACCATGAAGCGTTTACCGAAAAACTGGCTGTTACACAATCTTTTGCAGGCCAATGTTCATGTATCACTGCGCGTGCGTGTGTGTGTGTGTGTGTTAATAGCCATAAATGGTCACCATGAACATGAAGCCATCCAACAAACCAAAACACTTGTAATCGTCTGAGATGCACAGGTGCTGGGCTCTTTACACACACAGTTGTCCAATCATGAGCTTCAGTACTAAAAATTTAGTCATAAAAAGCTCCTGATTGAATATTTGCATCCCAGCCGATCCAACGGCAGAAGACACTAATTAAATTGGAGCACAGCTACCACGAACTAATGTATTCAGCATCAGTGCATTAGCTGTTCCCAACCTAAATCCAAGGTATCTATCTTAGAGATATGGGATAGTGACACTAGACAGAGTCAGTTAAGTTAAGTAAGTTTAAGGGATATGAAGTTTTAAACATTCACTGTTGCACTGGATAACAGTGATGTTAAGATGTGATGTTTGTTTGTTTTTTCTTTTGCAAAAATTCAATGTAGTATCCTTTTCTCCATGCAGAAACGCCTAGTTTATAACATGTAATTAACACCAGAAATGCAAAATTGCATTATAACACTTATCACGCTACCGGTATTGGAAATACAGTAAATCAAAGTGGAAAAAAAATCAGGTCAAAATTTTGTTCAAAATAGAAAAATTTTTAACTTCTGAGAATAAAGGAATTTGACAATAATATGTCATGCAAAGAATTGCTTTTAAGACGCATTATACAATAAGAATTTAAAAGAATTACAATTGGACAAATTTTATGTCAACTTTCACCAAGACAGCAACTATTCAGCATTTGTTTCCCCTTATCTATTAATAACTCTATTAACTTAAATGCAAGCTGATGCATTTCTGAACAAACAAATCCTTGACACTTCAAGAAGCATTTCCTCTTCAGTGCATGCGATTCATTTGGGGGATATTGAATGCCTACAGTGAAAGTTTTAATATCACCCTATTCCATACTGCCGGGCTCACCTGCTCTTTTCAACTTTCTTTCTCCCACCTCTTTCCTCTTTTCGGCACTCCAGCAGTCTACAAAAATTTCCTGGTATCATACAAACTAAGAACTGAACTATATTTTTCTGCACTTTTTTCCTCTCTTAGTGTTTTTAAAACCACTTTTCGACTCTTACACAAAAAAATAAATAAAAAATAAAAAAGCTTAAGTAGGAGCAATATTCTACATATTTTTACAAATGATATTCAACATCAAGGGGAGGTCAAAAAGATAATTTGGTCATTACCTACTTCTTTACAGATCTTACAAATAACAAAATGAACACACATGGTTGTTCAGTAATGTATAGGCACCCTCCCCCCTCCCCCAAACACACCTTACTACCTTCATTTATTAATCACCATGTCACTAGACATCTTAAGAAGGTGATATTTACACAGGTGTTTCAGAAAAAAAGCAAGAAAGAGGATGAAGGGGCTAGGGAAGCAATTTTTGTCAATGAAACCTGGATCATAGAGGCTGGTGTTCTGCACTTGTGTCAAAAATACACCACCCTTCCCCTGCAAGATCAATTGAATTGGTGGCCAATATTTCTGACAAAACGGGGTAAGACAGAACTTAGGGCCATTAACTTGGCAGAAGTCCCCAACAAGCATCACATTTTAGGAGGAGTAGGGCACAAAGATGCAATATAATTAATTATGCTTTCAATGTTTCTGAATATGAATAATTGAGGATTGAATTGAATATTCAAGTGTAACAGAAATAATTATGTATTTTTCAACATCTCTGTCCTCCTACTATCTGATGCTCTGTGGCAACCCCTCATGCAATGTTACAGGTAGTAGGATTTGCCATTCCCCTTTTAGTCTGACAGAAGCCATCCATATTACTTGAATATGTGTTGGTAAGGACATGCGCCCACATCTTAAGACCATGAGTTCATCGATGAAACATGCTATCTTTTGATGTACTCTACCTGTCCTCTGCACTGGTGCACTTTTTTTTATGAAGCAGTGGGTTTAAGACTTTTTAATTCAAATGTGTATAAGGTTCATAAAACTAGTATAAATAAATTAGAATTAGTTTTAAAAAAATAAAAATTAAATTAGAATAAATACCTGTTCCACAGCCATCTGAGCAATTTCTTTGTTCACTTGATCGGTGCCAGTAGCTTCTTCTAGAGACTTGTACAGTCCATCTGACATCAGCAGCAAAAACCTTACATAATATGAAACCACAAATTAAAATTTGTTCATAAAAAACTAAATCTCAAGAGAAAATTTCAGATGAAGGGGTGTTTAAAGGATGAGGGGGAAGGCTTGTAAGTCATCATAACGTTTCCATAAAATGTAAGAACTTTCAACAAATTCATGCAAAGCAAAAGATATCTCTTAACTTTTTCTTAGACTCAAATGATATAGTGAAGACAGAAAATCCATCTTGTAATAAAACTGTGCCTGTAACGCGACTTATGGGAAAGTATATTCTACATATTTTCACAAATATTCAACATTCAATATTGAGGGGATTATTCCCTTATGGGAAAGATTTGGAAGGAATATAAACTGTTCTGGATGTTTCTGAATTTTTTATCATCAGATCAAGAAGAAACAAAACTATCTATTTTTATGAGAAGCAGACAAACCCAGAAGTGCTGAGATGAAGCCAAGGCAAATATTCTGGAATAAATCACAAACCTAGAGGTGCTTCTATGTCACATTATCTCATGTTATTGGTGACAGTTATGTAATGTTATATTGCAACTTACAAGTCATGAAAAAACTCCTTAACAAAAAAAGCACCAAAATTAAACAAAAATGAATTAATATTTTTCTCAATTTTTTTCCATGAGTTTAAATGAAAATGGCTTTTTGCCGCTGAAATGAGTGTATTGTAATCTATTCTCTAAATTTTAAAGTTAAAAACAAACAAACAAAAATTTTACTCAGGCTGGTGTTTGAAACTGAGCACTGTAGTGAGAAATGCATGTGCCATCACTCGAGATATTTAGTCATTCTTGATGCTTCTGCATTTATTGAGCTATAATACAATCATAATATTCCTATGTTTCTAGCACGTTTCAATTCAAAATTATTTGAAAATCTAATACTGAGGAATATTTTGCTTTAATAAAGAAATACCTAGCTTGGAGGGGTAAAACAACTTCAAAAAATAAATTCAAATTTCTGTAGTTTTCAAAATTACAGAATTTCAATGAAATGTTACTAAGTAAACTTGAATCTATTTGAGAAAAACTGCCATTTCTGAGAAAACCTTGATTATGTTTTTTGTATACATTGTGTACAGGAAGTATTGAAATGCTGCAAAAAGTCCATCCTTCTGCTTGTCTATGGACATCGCTTCAGCCAAAACTGATCACAGGATATTTTCTGAAATGCAATGTCTTCAATAGATTTGAACATTCAAGGTCCTTTGAATTTAAATCATCATTTAATTTTTGGAGAATATTTTAATTGAAGCTCATATAAAATAATCCAAATTAGCTTAAAATCAATCCAAATTTTTCTTAAAATCTTGTACTTGGATGAAGCAATATATGATTACAAAAATGGTCTAATTTTCATCAAACTTTCTAAATTCTCTAAAATTGCAAATGTTCAAATTTTTTTGGACCCACTTCTACAACTGCATTGTTGAAGATTTACATTGTTTCCTCAATGAAATCAATTCTTCAAACTTTGATCTTTAAAGAATGTCACGTACAACTGTTTTAAAATATGGATAGATTTTCAGTAATTCTGTGTGAAATTGTGTCAATTTTCAAAAAACACATAAAGAAGATTTTTTTCAAAAATTGCTGCAAATTTGTTCTTTGAAGTTTTTGAATGAATAGAACATAATGCTCTAAATCACATGATGTCAGTGCCACTGTTTTTAAACAATTTTATTACACAAAAAGACATAAGTTTTGAATATAAAAAAACACTTATTTAATATTTTGATATACGTGAAAGACACTTTGCAAAGGTGAGACCTTGAGGTTTCTATCTAAGTTTTCTGTATTTTTTGGCCATTATTTAATATTAGCAATTGAGAACACATTTTTATTGTTGTGTAAATGATGGAAATTTGATTTTATCTCCAAAAGGTAGAACCTGCCATGCACTATGTTATTTTGGTATTGTTTGGAGTATCAAGTTGTGAAGAAAAATGGAGAGAAAATTTTTAAAAAAATATTTGGTTTAGTAATTCACTCATTGACAATGAATGCAGCGGAACAGATTTTAACTTTCCTAAAACACAATAAATGGAAATAAGAAATCAAATACTTTTGAATTCCTATCATCTAAATCTCACAGATGAGGGGAAGTGTTTTACATAGTTAAAAAAGAAAGCAGACAAATGACAGATTTATTAGACAAATTTGACCAACACATCATTGGGGAAAAATTACGAGACAAGAAAGGAATAAAGGCCAGGCAAGTAAGGTAGGTAACATTTAAATATGCAAAACATAATAGAATTCCCCAAGTGATGTTTGCCACGGCACTGATTGAAATGATGTGAAAAATATAATTTAATAACCTGTAAATAAAAGAGTACTTTCTTGCTAGCTTTGGCTTTAATTCTTTTATCAGCAACATAGTACATAAACATTACTACGCACTTGTCAACAGCTGGGCACTTGTGTATTCAGGAAATTCACTACATGCTACTACATTCAACATAGAATAGATCCTTTGAATTGCCTGGCATTTAGTTTTCTCTATCTCTAATCAAGATTCTTTAATCATCTAATAGTTCACTCTGTATTGTGATGCAGATAAATAATAGTAGTTTTTGAAACTAATTTATTATGTTAAGCTGTATTGCACACACATATTTAAAACAACTGACGTTAGAGCCATAAAACATTGTGAAATACATTTCAAAGGGGTATCCCTGCTATGATTTAAACAATCAAAATGAAGGCCAAATTCCCACCAAGAATAGATTTACACACATACAGAAGAGAGATCAAGTTGGTAAGTAACAAAACACCTGGTCAATGAACATGCAGAACTCAGGTCATCAATTGACTCCCTGACTCGCAGATCACAATCAAGAAAGGAGATGCTTCAGAAGAAGGTCACAGTCATAAAATATGCAGTTGACTCCAATTATGATGAACTTTCAGATATAGTGAACTTAATTCACTTGTCCCATTTCACTTACATTACAAATAAGCATAAGAATATTCATTTATTGTGAACCTGAACTTCGGCTTTAGTGAATGCACGAAATACAACATTCTCTAAATTACTTCCCACCTGGAAAAATTCCAACACTAGCTTTGAAAAAATACCATTGGCTAAAGGTTAAAATCAAACGAGTCTCCTATGAGGTAAAGGTAGCAGAGTGGGTATCTCACTGATAACCTTATGCCACTCAAGTCTCACTGCAGAAACAAAGGTCGTGTCGTGCGTGGGCTACAACTGGCGATAGCGACGTGCGATGCTTGCTTCAGTTTCAATCTCAATGTTACTTGATATTCGGCAGGCCAAAGCGCTTTGAGTTCAATGTATGCAACAAGAAGCATGTGACTGCCACATTCTGGTGATATCTACTGTGCTGCAGAGAAAAGCAATCAGTTTCTTTAACTGATTGCACCACCCCACTATCAAAAGCCTCTTGTATGTTATTAGGTGAGTAAAAGGGCCTTCAGATAATGGGACAGTATTCCAACTGCAAGAGGCATTGAAGGGTGTCATGACAGCATTACAATACTTAAGACTCAGAGTACAATGCAGAATTAAGTATGGAGAAGCACAAACTCTATAGACGGACCTAGAGAAATTCCTAGTGAAAAAGCACAAAGCAAACAATTGAAAATAATAGATTATTTTTAAGGAAAAATAAGACATTTTCAGTTTGTGCTATCAATGTATTTTGCTGTCTCTATATTAATAGAATCAATCATTATGGAGAAATTCTAATTAATTTTGTCATCATCAGATATGGTGAACCTCCGATATAGTGAACCAAAACTGTCAGTCCCCAGAAATTCACTATAACTTGAGTCGACTGTATGAAGAAATAAATGTCCAACCCAGTATATTACAAAGCAATATTTTAAACTAAAGAGCTGTTTAATTCTCAGCTGTTCTAAGAGTGTTAGAAGCAAATGATTTTATCTGCTGGCAACACTCTTTCTTATATAGAAGTAACTTCAGTACTCTGGTATTTAATAATCATAAGCATCAACTACATGGAATAGGAAGGGATTATATGTATGGTGAATCCCTTCCCCATCCTGCCCTGTCCCACCTGCACAGTTTCACCTTCTGCCTTCTAGCCCTGCCACACTTGGTCTGTCTACTCTGCTCCTTCCCACTGTCATGTCTGCTCATATGTCATCGTTGCTGCAGGCAGCTGTAAACAATATGCACTGTTGCATACTCTCTGCAACAATCTTTCTTTGCAATTACTCGGAGCCAAATTGCGGTACTGGAATGAATGTGCATGCAAAATGCATTTAGTTGGAAATTTTTCGGGCTTTCAGAAACACCATATTCACTTCTTTGGCTGATTTACTCTGTTTTTTTCCAGATATTGCAAAAAAGAGAAAGAATGTACATTTAAATTTTGTTCTGATGGGACGGAAAGGGAGATAAATGGGGTGATTTTTACGAAATCCCATATTTACAATAATATTTCTCCAATTGAAGGTCAAGTGTACAGTTCATTAAGATAAGAATAAAACTGTATATTTGTATTAAAAAACAAACAATACTTTATACAAGAGAAAATAATGTAAAATTAAAAAACTTGCTTAAGTTATAATCGACAAACACTCTGCTTTCCAGTGAAATCTGTATCAAAATTGGTTCAACCTTTACTGAAATCATTCCGGACAAACAGGCAGACAAAAATCGTAAAAACATTTGTATTAATTTTTAAATCATGTAAATAATAATGAGAACAAAATTGTCAGTCATTTTGAAATAGTAGGCAGGCACTCCAATTTTATTTCTATAGATATACGTTTTACATACTAACTAACATACTCTAAACAGCTGAATACTCCCTGTTGCATGGATATCTGCCTGCTATCATTTCCTTCCCCTGCCCTTTTCTCATCTGCTCCTAATGCCTCATCTTGCACTGTCTGGCAATATTGTCACTTAAATGTATTGGCGATTTCACTTAACTAATTTAACTAAATTCAAAAAAACACTTTGATGCAACATTTTGGGCAACCATCAACCTCAATTTTTTTCACAACTGCTATAAGACATTTGAGCAAAATTTGGAGGCAATCGTGCCAGTGGTTCAAAAGTTTTAGTGGAACAAGACTTTTGAACCACTGGTTTTGATGGTTGGAAAGTTTCGGTAGTTCCCAAACATACAAACCGGTACACAAGTTCATTTTTACACACTAATAAATGAGTCAATAAGTAATTTTTCAATGAATACTCTTCATTTAACAATTTTACCCAAAACCTACACAAGATCAAACTGAAATTTTTGTTATTATTATTTTTTTATTATTATATATTTTGTTTATTTATTTAATATTTAATTTTGTAAGATTAAAACGTTGGGCATTCACTGTAATTACCTGCATGATTCATCCAAAGGTATTCCCCCATGTATTTCTGGCTCAGCAATAACTGGTTCTCCTGCAGCTGAGGTCAACTCTTCAAATTCTTTATAAGCTCCTTTCACTATATAGTTGCCCAAACACCTTGTGTTATCTTGGTTTCCCAAACGGCAACCTATTTAGCAAATAAAAAATTAAAAGTAAATTACACAATCTGTATAATGTTATAATTAGAGCCCATGAGTTCAGGCATTTATTTTACTTCAAATAGGCAGGCAACAAGGAATTTATTTTCACAAAATAGGAATGCAAAAATGGCATTTGTTCTGTCTAAAGTACGGGGGCAAAACACAGGACTTAATCAGAAATTGAAAGTAATTAAATTAATGATTAAATGAATCATATTTTTATGTTATCTTTTAAAATTTACATTAGCACTAATGTGGAAGGAAACTACATTTTCTTTGTAAATTTGATCGCGCTTGACCATCCAGTTGATGACTACAAATTTATTTTACTCGCAATCCTGCCTCAAAATGCTATTGTGGACTCCTGGTATGTCAAAAAATGCTGCTGTCTCAAAATTCTATTTTGAAATGGTAGCAGTGGAAACAGAATTTTAGATTTCATTCTTCACCAGAACCCTTCACCCTTGTGTAATCGCCAGAAGGGAAAAGAGAACAAGAATTAAAGAGGAATTAAAAAGGATATAATCATGTACAGACAGCTCTGTCCTCAAAAGGGATCCGAGACCATACACAAACATAGGATGAGATTTCTCGTGAGGGAAAATGTCTATAAACATTAATGAAAAATATCAAACATTTTCACTGGTACCATCTTCCTCTCTCTTTTAGATTTTTAACACAACCTGGTGCTGGAGCCTCTGCCTCCATAGAAAGACAATACACGACAGTGCCTTCATATTGTTCAGGATAGTAGGTATGTTTCAATTTGATCGAGATTGGTGTCAGGAGGGAAAAAAGGGAAAATAATAACATAAAAGGCAAAAACTGCCACATATAAGGAAGAAAAAGCACAAAGAAAACAAAATGCCAAAAATAGGCATAAAAAGCAAAATAAAAATTTACTATAATAACTTCAGAAGTGCAATTAGTTATTTCTAATGTTAAAAGTAATAAAATCGTAACAATTATAGAAAGGGATTTTGACAAACTTCCAGGCTCTAGTTATAATCAGAATGAAACTTGCATAAAAGAACCTATGCTGTTCTTTAGTGACGTATAACAAATGAACATTACTTTCATTACTAAATCAGTTACTCTCAACAGTCAGAACAATGCAAATAAAAACAACTGTGTTACCTTGCTGTACTTTCTCAGTATCCAAACCCAGTTGAGATAATCTCAATACCTCATCTTCATTTTTCATGTCGTGATCTACACTCAATTGCACAACTCTCAGAACTCCATTGGCATCTGTTCGGCACAGTAACGCTCGACTGTCTCCAACATTAGCAACATAAAGACGTCCACGATATATAAGAGCGACTACTGCAGTTGTTCCTGCAGAAAGTTCGCAATTGAGAGCATTCAACTTGTCAATCTGAAAGAAAAAGAAAAACAAAAAAAAAAAAAAAACAAGAAAACTGAATATCATATTTCTATCAAATATAAATGAAAATTCATCCACTTTTTTAATACATCTTAAATATTTTGAAAAATATTCAAGCATTCTTTCAGAAGTATTCAAATTCCTCACACAGTTTAGAATGGTGCTGTATTTCTTACACTAAATTTAAATTTGAACAAAGGTTCTCACTCACTTTCAATAATAAAATATTAATCCAAACACTATCCTCAAAAAGTGCAAGTTTTTCTCATACTATCAAAATACCTAAAAAACTCATTAATTTATTTGACAATATTCTGCAAAAATTCTATATTGGTTAGCCATACAAAAAAGTTTTAAAAGAATAAAACTGTGAACAGTATTAATCAAGCTGTTCATGTAATTTTTAACATGAAGCTAAAAAATGTGAACTGCCAGTTTCTTATATACTCAATGTTTCTAACACATATCCACGTGATAATAAAGCAAAGAATTTTTTTCTATATTATTAATTACATTTATAACTCTTTGTAATGCTTATATATAATAATGCTTCCTAACACAATAAGGCACACACAATAACAACAAATAATGGATTCAATTAATTTTCAAACCTTTCTGCAACTCTATTACAAATTTACAGTACTCAATCATACTAACATAAAATTTTTATTTCAATGAGAGTTAAGACAAACTTTCACTTCATAGTGTATTCATGAATATGTTACAAAACAATTTATTTTTCAAAATTGTTTATTATAACATTTACAACAAATACATTGTATTTTTCCTCAATAACTTATAATAAAATTAACTGCAAAGCTTGTCCAAACTTTGTTCTAATAATTTCAAATACAAAATTAATATTTGTTAATATATTTGTTCCAATACAAACTTTATATAAAGAAGTTCTCCTTTGAGATTACATAAAATAAAAAAAGAAAGGTTTGAGAATTATGAAGGTAGACGACACGGAGAATTGAGCCGTTATCATCACAATCATAAAATGAATGCTATGAACAAGCAGCTCTACTCTATTTGAAAGATGGAAATGTAGTTGGAAATAAAATTTCATTCAACAAAATTTGAATGTACAAGGGATGAAAAGACTATCACATAATTATGGCTGAAGACAACAAAAGCAAAATATCTTTCAAGAAGTAAATTTACCAACACCAGATAAGAATGACGAAGTAGATTACTACAGAAACTTTAGAAAGAAAACCAACAGTATCCACTAGAATTGACCACGACTCTTCTAGAAAGCTAAGGTACAAGAAATAACAGATATCATATGAAAAAAAAAAAATGACAGACACTATTTGTAAACAAAAGAATAGATATTTGCCATGAAATGTGCTGAATCACGTTGTTACAGGAGCATTAACATTACAATAAGATACCAAAATGAAGAATGCAATCTTTTACTTATGAAAATAACATGTAATATAAAAAATTGGAAAACAGCACTTGACTTATAATAAAGAATCATACCAAGTCAGGGTACTTCTGGTACACTTCATAAGATGTAAGGCCATCCGGAATTTCATATTGGAGACTGGTCCTTTCTGCTAGACGATCATCAATAGAGTCAAAATAACCTTTCTCAACAGAAATGAATGCTTGCCTGAAAAGAATTCAAAATACGAATGAGCCTACATGAAGAACATAACAAGTATTTTAGACTAAGACACTTTTCTTTTTGTATGTTAAAATTTAAAACTACTTTACATATCAATATTTTTACACTACATGAAATTATTTTTACCTTTTGAGTTTGACATTAAGAAGATAATAAGTCTTCACTATCCAGGCAAACACTTAAAATTTCAAGCCCAGATTTCTTACACAATTTCTTTTACTACATCCATGTGCAATGTAATTTTTAAAGGAGTTCAATTCAAAATTCTCAAATGTATGTATTTTATGTTTAACTCATTTTGCAATTCAATACAATATTTTTAGTATCAACTGCTAATTTATTTTTTTTACTAATGACGAAATGTATTGTACTATAAAAACAGTTTGTTTTTTAATTATGTTGGTACATATGCTCTCTCTCAACTATATACCTCGCTGGGTATCTTAAAACGTAGATCTTGGTCGTGTAGTTATGTTTTTCTTTTGATTTTACAGCCTATATTTTTGTTTCCTTGATGTTCTTCTCACTTCAAATGAATTCTTTTAACTCAAAAATACTGAACTAAGAAACTATCTATAAATAATTACTGTAATTTCATTGCCAACATCTATAATTAGAAGTAATGCCCAAGATTTAAGTGGAATAATTAAACTTAGCATAAAAATGTGTTCAGTAAAATCCTAAATTATTGGCAAACGCCGTAAAATAAGCTTTGGTACCTAATTACCTGACATTACATTTAGATACCATTTTTAATACTAAAAACACTAATTTAAATTCTTAACAGACTATAAAATAAGCAAAAACAAATACCTGAGCACTTCTTTAACTTCTTCATCTGTTGTTTTCCCTAACAGTTGTCCCAATAAAATTTCAGCGGGCATTCTCTGCAAAGCAAATGTTGCTGCTTGTGTGCCTTCATGTCCATCAAATACTCCATATAAGAAAGTACCATCATCCACACAAAAGTGGAAGCTGCGGTCTTCAAATTGATGTTCTTCTTGACGATATCCATCTTCTCTGTATATCTGATTGGTGGAAAATCCAACACCTACATATGAATATAACGTTAATTTTTAGCAAATATGATTGACATTAGCAAATATTTTACGACCACGTAATTTCTTTTAATCACAAAGAAAGGTTGCTGATATTACCTGATTGTCTACACACAGGCAAGTCGTCAGTCCAACTGTGTCCTTCCTGATAGGATAAATGATTAGACCGTGGCAATTCAGCACGAGTAGGCATATTGAACCTACAAAAGTAATTTATCAATTTACAATAAAATAAGTTCGTTTTTTGACGTTCACATCTCGGCTTTCAGTCACGCTTTAGTCAAACCCTAACCTCACTTCGAAGGGCATCACATTGCTTCATAACAAGTGAGGAAATTTCACTGCTGCGCGCGATATCATACACATATTAATCTTCGCATTAGGGCAGATATCTTTTAGATTGGGTTAAACGATGGCGGTACGCAAAACTATCCTTGAGTCTTAGGAACTCAGTCTACACCACCGTCACTACATTTTACCAGAACCTAACCTGCACCTTACACCTGACCAGCCCCTCATTTCACACGCACACGGAGACCGACGATGTCACTGATGACACCCCAAAACGCTCCTCACTCAGACGTCAACACGGAGCTGCATGAGCCAAAGCTGATTGCTATCAGATGATCGATGTCGACGGCAGTGCATTGCAGGTGCATCATAACTGCTCGTTCTACGGAGTGCAAACTATTGGTAGTTCAGTTCTACTCAAAACATAACTAACGTGTGGTGATGACAAGTGTTTATTTGGTATGCTTCCAGAACACAATGCGAAATTAAAGTACAAACCCATTTGAATTTTGAACTGACATGCTGACTCGCTGTATGCATAGGTATGCATGCAGCTGGCATGCCATGCACGGTGCGATTTGACGGGGGGAGTGTGCCCAGTTTGGCCAGTGTGCCCCGCCCACCACGTTGGATCCAAGAGTGATGGAAATACCACATATTATTTATTTAAATTATATACATGATGGTTATTATATAAATAAATTTCGAAATCAACAAGACCAGATTTAAGTATTGCGGGGCCTCCAGGCACAAAAGTGTGTCCCCCCGGTAAAAATGACACCATATTTATTAAATAAATATCTTATCTTAATACTTAAGTACTTTCTATATAAAAACAAACGAAAACTAATAATTTTATATAAAATTTTGCATGTATTATATTTATTACTTTAAATATATTTCATGTTACAAAGTACGTAATGCATCTTTTTCCGAAGCGCGAAAACCCTCATGGATGGAAGCCCCCAAGCAACTGCTTGTTTTGCTTTTACGTAAATCCGGCTCTGATTAACAAAATAAACTAGTGGCGCTACTGGCGAAACATTCGCAATGCAGACGGGCCCAGGTAAAAGAGGGTCTGTTTTTATGCTAAAGCTTGTGCGATTATAAGAAATCTTAATTACATGATACATTCTCTGAAACTTTGCGTCAGTTGATAAATAAAATATTAATAACATCATCTTCCAGAATAATGATTTTTTTCCCGCTTCGATAGCTTATGTAACCCGGTTTCTAAATCAGAAGGTAGGCAATCTGTCAGTAACATTGATTTCTTACGAAGTAATCATTGACTGATGAACATGAATTTGTTAAAGGATATTTTTATTATTTAAGATACTATTACTACTTGTATTTGCTACACAATTTTATAAAGCGGCTGGGATAAACGTTTTGCGGGAGGGACTGCACTCATTTCGTTAAGCTAATTGATGCAGATTTTCTCGAACTAATTAGTTTTCTAATATCTGTGGTCTGGGCTAGCTTTTCGATTTTACCACACCCTCCTTCCAGCTGCATTCTATCGCTACCCAAAGTACATTTTTTCACATTTTCTCAATTTTTCGATCCCCTAATTGCGGAACTGAAATATGAGTTTAAGAATAATATAGAAGAGTAAAACCTTGTCCTATATGGACATCTTCTGTGATAAATGTTGAGTCGTTTTGAGAAAATGTCGTTTAAGCGTTTAAAATGCGAAATTTAAAGCCCTTTCTACTTTCTCATATACGTACATATGATCAGAGTAATATACGTAGACTAGAATAGGAAAAGTTATCGGATCGGATCGATTTCGAGATTTCAACGGAAATACACGTTTTGAGGTCCCCCACGTTATGAATAAATGTTCTTTAAATAATGTCATAAAGTTTCTCGAAAACTACCGTTTTCTGTGAAAACTAGCTCAAACTTCCGCATTTTCATAAATGCTCAAACACCATTTTCTCAAAAACGGCTCCAAATTTTGTCTTAAAACTTTTCGAAGGGATAGTGCTAATTGCACGCTTTAATGTGACATAAAGTTCATTAAGGGATATTCTTTTTTTTTAATACACAAATGCCATTTTTTAATGATCTCACACGCTGTTAATGTGCCCATTACCAGCTGTTTGTTTTTGTGAGGTAAAAGACTTGAAATGAAGTTTTTCGAAAACTCAAAACTTGTGGAAACTGTGAAAAAGAGGACCAAATTTGGAATTTACAGCGCTGAAGCGCCATTTTCTTAACAACGGCTCCAAATTTTTCAAATAAAATTGCCGTTTAGGACGAGGTTTTACTGTTCTTTAATATTCTTAAAATAATATTTCCGCTCTACTATTAGGAAACCGAAAAATTAAGAATATTTCAAACACATGTACTTTGGGCAGAGATAGATGGCAGCTGGTAAGAATATGTGGCAAGTTCGTATAGCTAGCCGAGACCAAAGGAAATAGAAAACTAATACGGGAAAGTATGTGTCATTCTGCAGCACCACTAGTTACTTTCCCTACGTATACACGAAGTAATATACGTAGTTTAGGGAAAATTATGTAACGCTGCGAAAAATCGATTTCGAGATTTCAAAGGAAATACATGTCCCCTGACACCGATAAACGTCCGTCCGTCTGCCTGTCCGTCCGTACGATTTTTTTTTCTTCAAAATATGGATTCGATATCGATATGTGTGCACTCCAGGCGCCGCGAATTTGAAAAACCTTCTTCAAAATTTGGGGGTACTTTACATGAAGTTCCCCACACTTTTCAAAATTTTCTCAAAAACGGTTCCATATTATTTCTTTAAATTTCTTGTTAGAATATAGTAACATACACTTAGGTCCGATTTTCACGATTAACTCTGAATTTTCGAAAATTTCAAAAGTATTAATATTTTCGGCGTCTTCCTACTACAAAGTTGAAGATAGAGGTATTTGCTTCAAATTAAATTTGTTTTCCATAATTAGTACTTTCATTAAGGTCATGTAGATTACAAAAAATTAGTAGTTTTAACGTAATATTGCATTCAATCTTTGCAATTTTAGAAAAATACAAAAAAGTCTCAAAAACCGCTCCAAATTTTTCTTTAAATTGTATGTTACTCTATTCTCACAGGAAATTTAAAGAAAAAAATTGGAGCCGTTTTTTGATAAAATTTTGAAAATATCCGGAGGGCTTCATTGAATTGAATTGAATTAATGCCTTATTTTACGTGACGAGACTCGGGCCATCACGCCCGCTTTTCCGTCTGACCACGCAAATTTTGCTACGCTCCTTTCGGCAACTAGCGGAGAAAGGAGGTATTTCTTGGGCAAGCAACAGGCGATTTCATGTAAAGTACTCTCAAATTTTAAAGAATGTTTTTCAAAATCTCAAAACGCAGACCAATGGACGGACAGACGAACAAACGGACTTTTTTCCATTAATTTATTTTTTGGTATGAAGGATTATGGCTACAGCACGTGTGGGAGGACTTTTTTCTTAATGTAGCAACTGAATTTATTAACTTTTCGTTATCAGGGCCCGGCAATAAATCTTTTTTTGCCGAAAATCCACCGTTGTTTGGTGCTGAACGACATAACTTTCCATATACTACGTTTATTACTCCGTATTTAGCATGTATACGGGAAAGTAAAAATGTACTTTGGGCAGCGATAGATAACACCTGGCAAGAGAATGTGGCAAGTTTTTATTGCTAGCCGAGGCCAATGGAAATAGAAAACTAATAAGGAAGGTCTATGCCATTCTCTAGCACCATTAGTTTGCATTGCAATTTAAGATTGCTAACTGAAAAATTGTCAGTCTATTTTTGAAAGAGAATTCAACATTCATTATCAACTAAGTAATACGCTTTATGATACACTTCACCCTTTCATCACATTTTTTTAAAGGTGGAAGAAATAGATAGAAAAATGTTTGGTGTGGCAAATAGTGCATTGTTTTTAATCTTTAAATGTTCTATGATTGTATACATATATATAGGCCTGTGTGAGGATGAATAATTTAAGACATGGATTAGTTAGGATGTTGCCAGTGTTAATGACAGAATTAGAGCTCTGAGCAGGCAGTGAAGAAGCGGAAGTGGAAGGTCTGAGGAAGGGGCAGTTGAAGTGGAAGAGAGCATTGGGAAATTATGTTAACTTAATGTTTTTGATGTTGTGTTCTTCTGAGTTTACTTGTTATTAAATAACCATAGGTTTGAATAAAAAATGTATATCATTTTTGAATTAATTTCTCGTGATCGCTTTTCTCCTTTTTAGATATTTTGGTTTGAGTTCTGATAGCTAGCCGAGATGGAGGTAGTTCATAAACACTGAGTTTCTGTATATTAATAATAAATTATTGAACATCCTAGCGAAACAGTCTTAAATAAATAATTTGTTTTACTTACACTTCTACCCTGCAGAGATGATTGATTTCACTTTCTAACGGCGTGCTTTGGATTGATCTACGTCATCCATGACTTCATCTCCAGATGTTGTTGCATCTGTCACAAAAACAATTACATGTTGTACACATCTGAAATGACTTCTGTCATAACAAATATATCTAAAATAAATTAATGTCGTAATTTATACAGGTACATTCTCCGTGGTAGAAAACTCTGGACCATCAATTTGTAAATTTTTTCACGTGATCTCCATTATACTTAAATGAAATGAGGATAATATAAGACAGTTTTATCTTGTAAAATTTTCATTCAAATTCCTCAACATCCAAAAGTTAAGAGGGCTTATGAGAGGGTGAAATGGAACTTCGTTTTCATCCCACTACTTGTTGTGTTCTTTTTCCTGTAGAAGGTTGATTGATTGATTAGTGATTCCGAGTGCGTGAACTGCTAAGGTCTCGATAATGTAAAATTAACGCGCGGTCCGCGGCTCGTTTGTTAGGGTAGTGCTTCTCCAGCAATCGCCTGATGTTGATCGGAGAAACCAGGGAAAACTACCGAACAGAACAGCCGGCCGCATGAATTCTTCTCCAGACAGCCTGAATTCGATATAGTTATGTATCTAGTCTCGAAAATCCTGCCACCGTCGGGACTCGTACTCTAGGACTTCCTGGTTAGAGGCAGTACACTGCATCAATTGACGCCCTGAGCCACCTAAACCAGTCCGTAGAAGGTCGATGTATCAAGTGGGCTCCACCTTCTAAAACTTAACCTGCCAAGGGTAACCCATTTACTAAGGGCCAAATTCACTGGTCCCACTCCCCAGACTGGTCAAAAAACGCAACTACTGCTCAAAAATGGGATGTTCTCTAACTACTACATCCGTGATCTCAAACTTTTTTAGCTCATGGCACACTCTCAATGTGGCATACTCACTGAGTAGAAGCAAATAATAGTATATTGTTATTGCATATTATTTTCATTGTTATTGTATCACATTTGTTGCAACCGTTTGCAGATTCCCCTCATTGGGAATTTGTTCCCGTAATGCACGGGGCATGCACCCATGGCATCACCAACTCAAATTATTGGATGGAGGGACAATTCAGTAGACGAGGTGTAGACTATCTGGGCATGTCTGCCAACATCCCCTACATAACAAAAAGTTTTGGGCGAGGGGCATGACCTCCAGGCTGTCACCCTTGCGTGCGCCAAACTGTTTTGAAAATCACTCGCGTGCCCTTTCGTCCGAATAGGTCCAGCCTAGTC